ATTAAAGGCACAGCGTCAATAAAAAAAACAAAAAAACAAAACAAAACATGAGTATTATCATTTAAAATCTAATACTTATTGAAGAATTAAATTATAAGACATTTATTTTCCTTAACAGCACTGTCTTTTTTTAATATGCAAAATTAAGTCATAACATAACTGTAATTATGTCTTTGTAGTAACTATAGACAAAAAGTCAGTTTTACTCACAGTTATTTCACTGGACAAATTGTAGTCAGCTAAAAAGTAATCCCTGTGAGACCTGTAAAGGTTTCATTTACAATCTGAGAATTTGAATTCTGAAAGAAAATAAATAATTTAGCTGAAGAATCAATTCTGCTGAAGATTAAAAAAAACAAACAAAAAAAACAAATCACTTTAATAACACTAAACATTAGGTCTTTATGTGTACATTTAATAATTAATGTACTTATTTTTATTTATTTCCAAAAAGGTACTGAACATCTCAAAATGTTTGGACTATAAACAGTGCTGCGTTATATCAAATCATCTACATGAAGAAAATGTAATACCATGGCCATTTAGGCTACTTAAATTATCTAGAAGTTTTTTTTTGTTTGTTTTTTTAAACTTTCAAACTGTTTTGTGGCTTCTAAATGTCTCATAAGAGTGAAAACTATCCCATTTTTATTGGCTAACTGTCAAAACCTCTCATGTTGTAAAAGCCACTCAGACATCCTGTCACCAGGAGGGGGCGCTAACGCATCCTATTTTAGTTTGGGAGGGCAGCTTGAAAAAAAAAATCCTTGGTAGAGTGCTACAGCTAACCCTTTATTACTAGTAACACCAGGTGTTTATGATTTCACATTTCTTTGAAGTTTAAGTATTACAACTTACTTTTTCTTTTAACATGCCATTTTGAAGAGAAGAAATTTATGAAATGCTCTTCAGTGTCTCTGGATTTGAATTAGACTGTAAAAATGTAACAAAGGAAGCACCTAACAATTTAAGAAGCCTTAAAAGTGACAATGTGATAAGGAGAACGGGTTGCAGAATGCTTCAGTTTCAATCCCTCTCGAAAATCTATGGCTTATTTAAGCTCAGCAAAAGCTGCTTGATAGCAGACAGAAATCTATTTTCTCATTGTTCAGCTTAGTGACATGGGCCCACTAACCAAGAAAATGCACATGTTTTAACATTATGCACATAATTTTAAGTTCAATGCATAGAAAATCACCAGTTCATAAAAGCCTGTCAGGAGAAAATTCTCCACTGCACAGGGCATATCGCATTTTGAGTTTGTAGCATTATTAGATGATGATATGAACAGCTAGCATGAGCAATTTGGAACTAAGAAATAACCATCTACCCATTTAAGATTTGTCTTCACCATTATTTCAGGCATAGAAAATGCATCCATACTGTACATCTTTTTATACAAAGACAACTCACACTATTCTCTTCCTTTTTGGTAAGACTGCAAAATAAAATTCCCCAAAAATCAAAACTAGAAAAGTTTAAACTACTAACCTTCATACCAGCAGTAGATGCCAGCCTTTCTCGAGTAATAAGCATCCTCTTCTCAGCAGCAGACGAGGGAGGGCCGTTTGGAATACAGAAAAAAGCAGACTTGGCGAAGGTGTCTTTGGTGGATTCATGGACAGCATCCTCCGAGAGAGACCTGGTCAATTCAAGCACCACCATTTCATCAAAACAGGACATTGATAGCAAGAGCATAATGTGTCTGAATTACAGTTGTTTTCCAGTATAGCTAATTAGCTATAGATTAGAAGGTCAGCATGCAAAATAGCAGATAATAAAGGCTTTAAATGGTCAACGGTACCTTTCTAATATTTCTTCAAGTCAAAGACAAGTAGTGCTCAGGATCTGAGTCCATGCAGAGGTCCATAGTCTGAATGAGTGAGGAGAGGACAAGGGCAGTGAACAATGGACTCCGTAAGCCTCTAGCAGAACTCAACACCACTTAGAAGTGACCTTTCACAACAACAGGGAACAAATACTACCAATAGTTTTGCTGTCTCCAGTTTCAAACTTAAGTGAGGCAAGGTGCCTCACACCTTCCTTTGTGCGTTCATGTGATCATAAAAGTCTCAGAGACTGAGAACAGCTGGGAATGAGACCTTAAACGGACAGACGAGTGCTCTCCAGGAATAGACAGAGGGATAAGTAAAGGAAATGAAAGTTCTACTACAAAGACAACCAGGGAGAAGGCCTGATGGGATGAAGTGTGACTGAGAAGAAGACAGCAGTGGTTGCACTTAATTTGTGCCAGAAAGTTTCACTATACCAGGTTTAAATGCTTTGCCAGGAAACATCACCCTTTTATATGTTTCAGAAAGCCCGTTTGCCAGTTTCAGATTGATGTGCCTCCTCCTCCTTGGTTAGCCTCATGTCTCCATCATTTTGCCAATGCTTGAGTTGTCAAATACAGTTTTAAAAATTTGGGAATTTAGCATATTCTTGTATATAAATGATACACTCACTAACATATAGCACATATAGGATATCACTGGCTTCTGCGTGGTCTTATCACCTGTTGCTGCTGCTCAAAGAAAAAAACAAAAACCTGTCCTGACTACCTGCGTCACAAGCTGTCCCCAAGCTATCCTCTGAAACACCAAGCCCCCAAAGGCAGCCAGCAGGAATTTCACAAGTTATCTTTGTGCTCAAGGATAAAGAGAAGAAAACAATGTCATGTCAATGGGAGCAGACCAAGGGCACTGAATGCATGTAATGTTTTCACAGAGGCCTGAACTATAGGTCACAACAAAGTGATTTGTTTCAGTGCATAAACATACTTTATGCATGTATGGTAGGGTTATATTCTTCTAAAAAGCAATGCACAGGAACCCATTTTTATTTTTTAGGACTCAAAGGGAGGCAATAATCCAATGTAAAAGTGAATAAAACAAAAATCTGAAATCTAAAAGTCAGTTTTAGAAATAAAAATCATTTCTACAGCACAGAATGTAGTTACACTATTTACTAATTATCAAATTCATAAGAATCAAATAGATTGTCAGTGTTACTTTCTGGCTTCCTTCAAAGAAAAGAGAAGGCAACCTCATGTGCAAAACCTAGAATCTATACATCATACATTTTGTCACCCTTTTCCAATGCTGAACTAATTAATATATAAAATGTATGTGTTTTTTAAATTTATAAGTAATTCGTTATTGAGAAACAAAATCATATAATATACAGTTCATTTTGTTAAAATGATTATCCAGACTTCACAAAAAAAGCCATTTCTCTTTCTCAAACTTCAAAGATAAAGTGTATATAGTAGTGCCTGTTCTGGACTGCTGAGATGCCCTGTGATCTTTTTCTCCAAGTTCAGTACGAGGCAATTACACTGATGCTGTGATGATGCAAATACATTAGACCATATCTAGATCCATCTATGCATATCCATATACACAGAAGGCCAAGTACTGTTTCACCAATCACATGATCAGCTCTTAAAAGGAAGACTGGCAACCTAATCAAATACCTAACAGATACTGTATGTTTACTAATTGAAATGCAGCAATTATGCTTATTGTATATTTTCTATATAAATCCAAGGACATCATAAACACAACATGCAAGTTGTGCAGTTGTGCACTTCACAAAACCAACTCAACATAAACTAAGAGTCATATTAACGAGCAATGTGATACATCAAAGCAAATATCTTACTAAACTATAAAGCACTAGTTGAAAGAAATGACATCAGGGCTGTTGTTACCACTAAACTGTGTTGTCCTTTAGTGCGAACATTTCTTCACAGCACAGGAGTCACAGCTTCAGCTTTTTTGTTTGGTTTAGTTTTTTACTTTGGTTATTTTCTGCCTTTAGGTTTTGGTGGTTTTATGTATTATTTGATAATTGTATATAAACTCCTGAGCTACAATGTTTAACACTCCCTACTAAAGACTGCTTAGAAAGAATACTAATACTGTCTCACTGATACAATTTGGTGTGTGTAATAAATGCATGGACTTTTAACTCAAACCTATTTATTTTTCAGGTGCAGAAAGTAATAATACAGTTCCTACAGTATATACTATTATTATAATGTATAATAGTAAAAGTAAAAGTGTATTGCACTTCATGTACCTTTTTTCATGTAATATGAACTTAGGTTGGCTCACACGGTCTCTGAACACGTCTATTCCTGTTAAAGAAAGAGAAACGATGCCAAGGGACCAGGGCTGGGCGAAGGGTGTGGACCAAACTGTGAACAGTGGTGAGTGATAATAAAGGGATCTCACAGCTGTGACCTTGGCCTTGTCTTGCCCCTCTGTAGACAACAGCTGCAGCTCTTTATTGTCCCCCTTGAAATGTATTTCACACCCTATCAACTGACAACTATTGTTGAACTTCAGATATCGAGATGTTCTCAGTCCAATAAATCCTGGTTGCTTGCTAGCCTGCTTTATTTAGTTTGAGTATAGAGGCAAACTCTATCTATCATTGAATCTATTTTACAAATAACAAATCACGGTGTTGCTTAATATGATGTTCCATACCACAAAAGAGGAATAAGTGGCTAATTATTGTTGCATGCAGTATATTGAGTCATATTTTGTGCTGGCACATAATTAACAGTCACCAAGTGTTGTAGTTGGAAAGTTATGCTCTCCTGTCTTCACTGTAATAAAGTTTTGTCAATCACTCATCTATGCAGTATATTCACAAGACACAAAAACTTTGATAAATGACAAACTGATTTTACAACTAACTCCAACAGTTGAATATCATTCTAAACCTACCTCATACAACTTACTGGGACAGAGAACTACTTGATGGACTGTAGCCTGTCCCTGCTTCCCCACCTCCTGCCTTCCCCTTTCTTTGTCATGTCCACTCTGGCGTATTAGTCTGTTGTTCACAAGGTGAGAGCAACAAATAGCAGCACTAGGCTCTACCCAATTTGGAGCATGCGTTTTGTGATAGGCAACCTGGATGCCATTTCTCTGATATTCATCCCCATATTTGGTTGACTTGCGACCTTTATTAAAGGAGAGGCAGGGTGGTGTCAGCCACTGGATCCATCATTTCGCTTGATAAGGTTGACGGTCAAAGGTAAGAAAAACACCCATTGAAATGGCAACCCTCTATGTGTTATGTGATTGACCACTTTATAGAGTTTTAAATATGTTACAATTACTCTCGGCTGTATAGTTTCTGCTGCTAACAACACTTGTAAGAGGTTAGTGATTCATTTTGATGAGATGACTCACTTTTTAGGTGTCAGACTTTTCTTGATCAAATAAGGATGTAATATGACCTTTGGTTTGTTTCTGTCCACTTAATATAAACAGAAGACATCCTTATTTCTTGTGGAATCAAACATCTCAGGTAAAACTCACAGCTACATTAATGTGACAATGCAGTAATTCTTTTATTACACAGTCCAGCAACAATCAACATGATTATATGTTTGTGTATGTGCGCAGCAAATGTATGTGTCTTCTAATTCTGCTATTTTAGGGTTACTGCTTATCAAAACACTGGAGATGTCCAGTTTTCTCATATAAAGAACCTCTGAATGTCTCGAAAACTCTAAATTAACCATATTTATTTCTGCAATTGCTTTAAGAGAAGAAAGATCAAAGACACAGTTTAATATGTTAAATAATATAAAAAATTATGAGAAATATTGTTTTACGGTGTTATTATTGTATTGTATTGTTACATGGGGATACCAAAACTTGCAATTATGTTTTTTACGAGTGTTGGGTGAGTGATTATGGGTCACATAGAAAATCACAACGCTTTCACTTTTTCAAGGTTGAAAAATGGGGGATGCCGTCATGGCAGAGTTCGGGCCTGCTGCTCCTTATCTGAGAAAGTCAGACAAGGAGCGTCTGGAGGCCCAGACTCGTCCATTTGACATGAAGAAGGAGTGTTTTGTTCCCGACCCTGAGGTTGAATACGTTAAAGCAACTGTCACTACTCGTGATGGTGACAAAGCCACTGTCCAGACTGAATTTGGAAAGGTATGTGTTCCATATCATTTCAATTCAAATATGAGGTAATACAAGTTTTGACCTTTGCATGAGATGCATTTTTTTCTTTTGCAGACTGTGACAGTGAAGGAGGTTGATGTGCACCCTCAGAACCCGCCAAAGTTTGACAAAATTGAAGACATGGCGATGTTCACCTTCCTCCATGAGCCCGCTGTGCTGTTTAACCTCAAAGAGCGTTATGCAGCATGGATGATCTATGTGAGCCACGTGTTCAGTTATTAGTCAGTGTTCTTCATCTCTATGCTATCTCACCATCCATAACAACTATTTGCTATCCCTCTCTTTATATGGCAGACCTACTCAGGGCTGTTCTGTGTGACTGTCAACCCCTACAAGTGGCTGCCAGTCTACAACCAAGAGGTGGTTGTTGCCTATAGAGGAAAGAAAAGGAGTGAAGCTCCTCCTCACATCTTCTCCATCTCTGACAATGCCTACCAGTACATGTTGGCAGGTGCATAATCTACTCTGGCCTTTATCATGTAAAAATAAGTCATCCTGACATCCCAACATGATTCTATTACTCTACTAATATTTTTAATTTCTCTTGCTGACAGACAGAGAAAACCAGTCTATCCTTATCACGTGAGTCACACGGCCAACAAAATCTTCTCAGCAGGTTAGAGTTAAAGGCCTTGACATAAAGCTTTCTGTCTCTCTTCTACTCAGTGGAGAATCCGGAGCTGGAAAGACTGTCAACACCAAGCGTGTCATTCAGTACTTTGCCAGCATCGCCGCTGTCCCGACTGGAAAGAAAGATGCAGCTGCTGAGAAGAAGGTCTGTATGACAAAACAGATCTCTGACTATGTCTCAATCACACTTTCACTTGAAAATCTAACCAAATTCCAAATGACTTGTAAAAGCTGAAATAAATGTTGGTATTTTACGTACTTAATACTGAACTTGAAGTTGTGTCTTTGCTTGACAACATCAGGGCACCCTGGAGGATCAAATCATTCAGGCTAACCCTGCTCTGGAGGCCTTTGGTAACGCCAAGACCATCAGGAATGACAACTCCTCCAGATTTGTGAGTGTCTGAGCGACTGCAGTGAGGCCATTTGATCACCATTAATTGACTGAGAGTTATACATTCCTTATTAGAAGTATCAGTGTACACTATTTTTCCTCTTAGGGTAAATTCATCAGAATTCACTTTGACAACCGAGGAAAGCTGGCCTCTGCTGACATTGAGACTTGTAAGTAAAGCTAAATTAATCCATATGTTGGTTTTCTGAGCAACTTATCCTCTGTAGGTGCTGGAGCCGCCAAACAGGACTTCTGTCAGTCACAAGGCGAACATACAGCACAGACTTTAGGAACCCAGGAAAGCCTTAGAGACACAATGACAACACACCTTGGAAAATGTGAAGCCAGAATGCTTTAACCAGTAATCCAGTGTGTGAAACATGTAAAACAGAGTCAAGATTTTCAAACAACATTTAAAAACAACATCTGCTAACCTCTTGTTATGAGAGTGCTAACATTTTTTTTTCCCATTTTCCATTTATTAATGTTTTACAAAATGTCCTGTTTGTGTGTTAGTGAAACACGCGCACATATGTGTGTGTGTGTGTGTGTGTGTGTGTGTGTGTGTTGTCATATCATGGCTTGATAATGTGCCAGTAGCTCTAAACCTTTGCCAATATTACATTATTTTATACAGAAATAGGATAAGATGACATATTGTATATTATACCTCAAACAGATCTTCTGGAAAAGTCTCGTGTGACCTACCAGCTCAAAGCTGAAAGGGACTACCACATTTTCTACCAGATCTTGTCTCAGGCAAAGCCTGAACTCCTGGGTGAGTGTGAAACATACATGTCATATGTGGTTGTTACTGTACTGCCACCATGCACTGTATAATTCATATTTTTAATGTCATTTTAGAAATGCTGCTCATCACCAACAACCCCTATGACTACGCCTTCATCTCCCAGGGAGAGACAACTGTAGCCTCTATCAACGATTCTGAAGAGCTGGGGGCCACTGATGTGAGCAACAGCAAACTGTTTTAGACGGATACTAATGAGGAAAACAAGGGTTAACCACAATAATATTTTTTGATTTTGTTCAGGATGCTTTTGATGTGTTGGGCTTCACTCAAGAAGAGAAGAACAGTATTTACAAGCTGACTGGTGCCATCATGCATTATGGTAACATGAAGTTTAAGCAAAAGCAGCGAGAGGAGCAGGCAGAGGCTGATGGGACTGAAGGTAGAGAGGCTGTTACATTTATTAGTGTAATGTTATATTTATTATGTTACAGTTAGTAGTACTAATAGAGGTGATTTGATGCAGCTCAGATCCAGCATTATTAATAAAAGCAAGCATGTGGAATTTCATGGAGTGGAAATGTCAGATAGTGCAGAGTTTGCATTGTCGGATTTGAGTATACAGTGGTTGGCATGTCAGGTCCCCATATCACTTTTTTTTTTTTTTTTTTTTTTTTAATTTGCATGGCAAAGGCTGAACCTGAGGTAGGACACACAGTGATCTAGCTTCCAAGAACAGTAACAAACTGATGAAATAATACCTTTAAATATCTGTTTCACATATCACTCTATTTTGTATGAATAAATTATATCGTCAAAGAGCTAATCTTTTTTCAGCTCTTATCTTTGAGTTATTTTGCATTTGAAGGAAATTAGACTAAAAACATGAACAAATGCAAATGAACAACAGAGACATGTTTAGGGCAATTAAAGCCTCTGCCAATAACCTGTAGTTCTGAGAGCTGCATATAACAAGTTTGTTATGTAAAAAATCCCTCTGAGCCACTAGATTTAACTGTATTAAAAACATTGCTCACCCGCATTAATCAACTGCTGCATGATACACAGAACAATGACCTCTCCAAAAAGAAGAAATAACTCAGGTCAAAGAAATGCATAGTTTGCATCTATATCTACATATCCACAAGAGTTTTGGTATCCTCGTGCCACTGAAAAAGTTCAAGTGTCAAGCACACCAAAAATAATGATAAGATAACGAGAACCTGAGCGAGCATGCCAAATGTGAGGTTGGAGAGTCATAAACATATGCACTGTCTTATGTACTGCATGTATATGTGAATAATGCGTCATCTTCCCTCTTTCAGATGCTGACAAAGTTGCGTATCTGATGGGCCTGAACTCTGCTGACCTCATCAAAGGTCTCTGTCACCCAAGAGTTAAAGTAGGAAATGAGTGGGTCACCAAAGGACAAAATGTGGCGCAGGTAAACAGTTGAATGGAATGTTTTGAGGATAATTTGACTAAACAGAAATCTAAAAAAATGTTGTTTTAAAAAATGTCTAATCATTTCCTCCTTTAGGTGTACTATGCTATCGGTGCACTGTCTAAGTCAGTGTATGAGAAGATGTTCCTGTGGATGGTGGTGAGAATTAACCAGTCCCTGGACACCAAACAGCCCCGCCAGTACTTCATTGGTGTGTTGGACATTGCAGGATTTGAGATCTTTGATGTGAGTTGAAACGGAGTTCCCAAAAACACCAATGACTTTTTTTACTCAACATTTTCATCACTGAATTAATTTCTGCTTGCTATTGATGTTCTTACAGTTCAACACCTTTGAGCAGATGTGCATCAACTTCACCAATGAGAAACTGCAACAGTTTTTCAACCATCACATGTTCGTGCTGGAGCAGGAAGAGTACAAGAAAGAGGGCATTGAATGGGAGTTCATTGACTTTGGTATGGATCTGCAGGCCTGTATTGACCTGATTGAAAAGGTGAGTTTTTGAGAATATTTTTCTTGAAAATTGAAATTGAGTTTTTTTTTTTTTTTTGCTTGTCTTTACTTTCTTCATTATATTCTCTTCAGCCCATGGGTATCATGTCCATCCTTGAAGAGGAATGCATGTTCCCCAAAGCCAGCGATGCCACCTTCAAAGCTAAGCTCTATGACAACCACCTGGGGAAATCCAACAACTTTCAGAAGCCCAGAGTTGTCAAAGGAAAACCAGAGGCCCATTTCTCCCTGGTTCACTACGCTGGAACTGTTGATTATAACATCAACAACTGGCTGGTGAAGAACAAGGATCCTCTGAATGAGACTGTTGTTGGACTGTACCAGAAGTCTAACCTTAAGCTTTTAGGTTTGCTTTTTGCTGGGTATGCAGGAGCTGAATCAGGTATGTTGACATTCAACAGTAAAATTCACGCAAATCAATGACAACTTGCCGTACCAACAATATCATGATAAACATCTTTGAAATCTGCTGCCCTAATAGATCTCTGACACTGTGTTGCTTACGTTGACAAGATGTGATATTATTAATTCCTATTTAGCTCAGGATTCTGGTGGAAAGGGAAAAGGTGGTAGCAAGAAGAAAGGTTCATCCTTCCAAACTGTATCAGCTCTGCACAGGGTAAGATATTCATGTGTTGAATCTTTTTTTTTTTTTTACAAATGTGATGGGCCAAAGCTACAAGGAGCGCAATTATGCACATATGTGGGGGTACACGGCCACTGGAAGACACCACTGATAAAAAAGACAGACCAAGCTAATGAAGACAAAAGGTTTTTAGGCTAAATATTAACCAACATCAGTGTGTACCTTTCTCAAGACTATGACACTATGAGTTCTTGTAACCTATTAAATTAAGCATCCATGTAAATTTATTACAGAATGTGTTCAATCAATGTCAAACACAATGGCAAAAAATTATATAAGTTACATGTGTTAAACTTGCAGGAGAATCTGAACAAACTGATGACCAACTTGAGGTCTACTCACCCTCACTTTGTGCGCTGCATCATCCCCAACGAGACCAAGACTCCTGGGGCCATGGAGAACCCTCTGGTGATGCACCAGCTGCGCTGTAACGGTGTGCTGGAAGGCATCAGGATCTGCAGAAAGGGCTTCCCCAACAGGATCCTGTATGGAGACTTCAAACAGAGGTTTGTGTCAGAATTACAAATTGTTGAAAAACAAACAAACAAAAGCATAAAATTAATTACATTCTTCTCCAATATCTGTTGATGAAAATGGACATTATTCAAACAAAAAATATTTCCTCATTTAGTCTTTGAATGGTGTTGTATTATATAAATACCATGTATTTTACAGTATAGTTACTTAGATGAGCATAAGTTGGTATTTTATCATTTTACATAACATAAAATAAAACTAAAATTATTTCTTGTCTTGAAGATACCGCATTTTAAACCCGAATGCTATACCTGAGGGACAGTTCATCGATAACAAAAAAGCTGCAGAGAAGCTTTTAGGCTCCTTGGATATTGACCATAACCAGTATAAACTGGGGCACACCAAGGTAAGCATGGGTGAAGAAAATCTGAGCTGTATATTCCTCCATAAAACTATTTCTATTGACTGCAATTCTTAACAACAGACATGTGTGGGATAATACTTTGTTTACCAACTCCTGCTCTCATCTGTTTGCAAAATCAGGTTTTCTTTAAAGCTGGGCTGCTTGGCTTGCTGGAGGAGATGAGAGATGATCGTTTGGCTTTAATCATCACCAGAATCCAAGCAAGATCTCGAGGTGTTCTGGCAAGAATTGAATTCCAGAAGATTGTAGAGCGCAGGTATGCGCAATAAATAAATAAATAAATAAATAAAATTAATAAAAAAATACTGCAATTTCAATTGATTCCAAAGCTAGAAACATGAGGATTAGAAATGGAATAAAAAAGGCAGCTCACTGAAGGTGACATGTTAGACAGTCTTTTATATCTCCCATTATTCCAGCAACCTGTTGGATATTAACGTGCCCTAAAAAGACATTAAAGGGGCGACCCAATATCTGAGTGGTAAGGGCACAAATCCCATGGGTACAAATCCCCTGAGCAGCGAGGACAGATATGCAGAAAAATTGTGACTGTAATTTTCTGTAACATTACAATATCTTCTTTTTTAATTCATGTCCATAGGGATGCACTACTTGTGATCCAGTGGAACATCCGTGCATTCATGGGGGTCAAGAATTGGCCCTGGATGAAGCTGTACTTCAAGATCAAACCTCTCCTGAAGTCAGCAGAGACTGAGAAGGAGATGGCCAACATGAAAGAAGAGTTTACCAAACTCAAAGAGGCTTTTGCAAAATCAGAAGCCCGCAAGAAGGAACTGGAGGAAAAAATGGTCACTCTTCTCCAAGAGAAGAACGACCTGCAGCTACAAGTTCAGACTGTACGTTTACAAACACATCGATGAAAGATATCAAAATCAAACCAAGTCTGCCCAAGTGTAATGCTGTGCCTTTCCAATCACAGGAGCAAGATAATCTGGGCGATGCTGAAGAAAGATGTGAGGGGCTGATTAAGAGCAAGATTCAGTTGGAGGCAAAAATCAAAGAGCTGACAGAAAGACTGGAGGATGAGGAGGAGATGAATGCTGAACTGACGGCGAAGAAGAGGAAGCTGGAAGATGAGTGTTCTGAACTGAAGAAAGACATTGATGACTTAGAGTTAACTCTAGCTAAAGTGGAGAAAGAGAAGCATGCCACGGAGAACAAGGTACAATAAAATGTAACATTTCTTCATAGGCACTGTTTATTAAGGCTGTACTGATGTCTATGATTTTAATTGCAACAGGTGAAGAACTTGACTGAGGAGATGGCTGCTCAAGATGAAATCATTGCTAAGTTGACCAAGGAGAAGAAAGCCTTACAGGAGGCTCATCAGCAAACGCTGGATGACCTTCAGAGTGAAGAGGACAAAGTCAACACTCTGACCAAGGCCAAAGTCAAACTGGAGCAGCAAGTGGATGATGTAAGAATACAATAAATATGACTGTNCCTCAGAACCCGCCAAAGTTTGATAAAATTGAAGACATGGCGATGTTCACCTTCCTCCATGAGCCCGCTGTGCTGTTTAACCTCAAAGAGCGTTATGCAGCATGGATGATCTATGTGAGCCAAGTGTTCAGTTATTAGTCAGTGTTCTTCATCTCTATGCTATCTCAGCATCCATAACAACTATTTGCTATCCCTCTCTTTATATGGCAGACCTACTCAGGGCTGTTCTGTGTGACTGTCAACCCCTACAAGTGGCTGCCAGTCTACAACCAAGAGGTGGTTGTTGCCTATAGAGGAAAGAAGAGGAGTGAAGCTCCTCCTCACATCTTCTCCATCTCTGACAATGCCTACCAGTACATGTTGGCAGGTGCATAATCTACTCTGGCCTTTATCATGTAAAAATAAGTCATCCTGACATCCCAACATGATTCTATTACTCTACTAATATTTTTAATTTCTCTTGCTGACAGACAGAGAAAACCAGTCTATCCTTATCACGTGAGTCACACGGCCAACAAAATCTTCTCAGCAGGTTAGAGTTAAAGGCCTTGACATAAAGCTTTCTATCTCTCTTCTACTCAGTGGAGAATCCGGAGCTGGAAAGACTGTCAACACCAAGCGTGTCATTCAGTACTTTGCCAGCATCGCCGCTGTCCCGACTGGAAAGAAAGATGCAGCTGCTGAGAAGAAGGTCTGTATGACAAAACAGATCTCTGACTATGTCTCAATCACACTTTCACTTGAAAATCTAACCAAATTCCAAATGACTTGTAAAAGCTGAAATAAATGTTGGTATTTTACGTACTTAATACTGAACTTGAAGTTGTGTCCTTGCTTGACAACATCAGGGCACCCTGGAGGATCAAATCATTCAGGCTAACCCTGCTCTGGAGGCCTTTGGTAACGCCAAGACCATCAGGAATGACAACTCCTCCAGATTTGTGAGTGTCTGAGCGACTGCAGTGAGGCCATTTGACCACCATTAATTGACTGAGAGTTATACATTCCTTATTAGAAGTATCAGTGTGCACTATTTTTCCTCTTAGGGTAAATTCATCAGAATTCACTTTGACAACCGAGGAAAGCTGGCCTCTGCTGACATTGAGACTTGTAAGTAAAGCTAAATTAATCCATATGTTGGTTTTCTGAGCAACTTATCCTCTGTAGGTGCTGGAGCCGCCAAACAGGACTTCTGTCAGTCACAAGGCGAACATACAGCACAGACTTTAGGAACCCAGGAAAGCCTTAGAGACACAATGACAACACACCTTGGAAAATGTGAAGCCAGAGTGCTGTAACCATTAATCCAGTGTTTACATTTTACATTTATTAATGTTTTACAAAATGTCTAATTTGTGTGTTAGCTAAATATATACACACAAACGCATACACACATGCGCACCAGTGTTGTCATATCATGGCTTGATAATGTGCCAGTAGCTCTAAACCTTTCCCAATATTACATTATTTTATACAGAAATAGGATAAGATGACATATTGTATATTATACCTCAAACAGATCTTCTGGAAAAGTCTCGTGTGACCTACCAGCTCAAAGCTGAAAGGGACTACCACATTTTCTACCAGATCTTGTCTCAGGCAAAGCCTGAACTCCTGGGTGAGTGTGAAACATACATGTCATATGTGGTTGTTACTGTACTGCCACCATGCACTGTATAATTCATATTTTTAATGTCATTTTAGAAATGCTGCTCATCACCAACAACCCCTATGACTACGCCTTCATCTCCCAGGGAGAGACAACNTTTGAATGCTGTTGTTGTTGCTGATTTTATGTTGGTGTTGTGTTGTTTTTTTTTCTGGTGTAGCAATTTCCCTGAGGTCTTGTACCGAAGGGATCAATAAAGTTTTATTCTAATTCTATTCTAAGTCTAATTATTGTAAAGGGAAGCTCAGGCTTCAGGCTGGGACCCTACATGGGTTAAAAGAAGTAGTCGGTTCCACTGAAGGCTCGACCGCACTGACAATGGGGAGTGTCCATGAACCTTTTTTTCCTTTCTAATTTTTTTTTTTTTTGTATAATACACATGTCAATATTTCTGTTAAATAAATAAAAAATAAAATAAGAAAGAAATTCAGTGTATTTCCATTGTAAGAGCAATGATCAATAATACCACTGTACTCTGTCTTGATGGGAATGTTCTGAATCAGGCTGCAGGGGATCAGCTGCAGCCTGGATGCTGCTGAGCCTCTCGGAGAATTCCCTCCAACAGAGCCTCAGAGCTCTTCTATAAAAAAAACCCAGAAAAGTAAACAGAATTGTAGAATACCGACATTCTTGTTGACTATATTGAGGCAGAGGTTCTCTCTCAGCTAGATTTCCGAATCTTTCCAGGATCAGACCACTAAACAAATGTCTTGTATGTACTTTCTGTTGCTTTTTCAAACTTTTATTCCAGTCTGACACCAAGACACCGTCTGACTTCAGTACAGACAGCAACTTGAAACGTTTTCGTCTTTCCTACTTCTGTGTATAACAAAGGGTCTAAGTGCCACGTTCTGAAGGCAGAGCTGTGTTTCCAGTGTCATCCATGGTCAGGACTCAGACAGACCTGCCATCAAGCGGCATTTCAAACCTGCCGACTAATTAGAAAGAAGCAGCAAACCTGAGGTGCTGCTGACCTTTGGCCTCAGACTGTCCTTATCCGTCCTCTCTTGCTGGTGTGTTTTCCTCTCTTTTCTCAGTTACTGAAGAATTAGAGTATCACTGTGAGCCTGGCTAGCAGCTGTAGTCCCTGTTCATGGTCAAAAAAGCCAGAAATAGAGAAATGAAGGCCTTTTACTTTGGCCCATTTGGGAGAAGAATGACTTGGACAGAATCAGAAGTAGATGCTTTGTATAAAAAATCCTGTCACGTACTTCTCTAATTGGCATGACAGAAATATTCATCCTGTTCTTGAGCTTGTTGATGGCAGTTAAAATAATATGAAAAACTGTGGTTATGGAGCGAACACAGTTCATGATCTTAAGTAGGTAGATGTGGGTTCTCAGTCATCCAAACCATGAGTGGTGAAATGTCTTCAAAACGTTAAAAGAGAAGTGCGCTGGCTTTTTAACTGAAGCTCCTAGAATGATGTGGGTAGGAGGACTCTGAACCCACCCTTTGTGTGTCAGACACGGGTGACCTTAATAATAAACATAGAATATAATTATGATCTTCATGACAACAACAAAAACTGAAAATGTGTTCCTAATAAGGTGAGGGCATAATGAGGCACGTCGATAGTTCATCGTGTCCCTTTGTATTAAAATTCTGCTGTGAATGAGGAATCCTGAACTCTGTCGTCTCCTTACATCTGAAGACAGCAGCTGAAACGTGGGTGTTAGATGTTTCTAAAGGAACTCATGTTGACGAAGGGGAGAGACTCAGAATTAAACGACATCTATGTTTTTGTGGGGAGCGAGGCGAGGGAATTGTTGTGCCTTTATTTACAGCTGCAGCAAAGAGAGACAAGAAATGTGGAAGAGAGACCAGAGGAATGACGTTCAGCAAATGGTCTGAAGAGCTGGAATCAAGCCAAGGACTTGCTGCTCAGAGCTCTTACAACCATGTGGTGTGTGTATGTCCTCGCCGCTCTGCATGCATTGTCCTGTCAAAGACTTTTCTGTGACCTCCTGGATTCTCTGGACCTTTCTCTGGTCACAATCACTTCACAGAGAGCACAGAAAAATGTCATCATTGTGTATCATGTCCTGGCTGTAGGAGGCATCGTGTATTCAATTCAATGAAGTTTAGATTTCACCTTCTTCCACTGATCTATGATCCACTTCTGATGCTTCAATGCCCATTGCAGGTGTTTTTGTTGGCGGACAGCATGTTCATACAGCAAACTGTGATCCACTGTGTGTTCTGACACTTGTTTTGTGGTCCAGTAGCTCTTCTGTAGGATCAGACCTGAAGCACCAGGCTTCAAGTAGTTGTAAGACTGAACCATGGCTTTGTTCTGCTCTTAGACCTTTTTAGGTGGATGGTAACGACTGCATAACAGCAACATCCCACAAAATCTGCTCTTTTGGAGATATTCTGCTCGTGTTCTGGTAAAAGTCTCTTCAAGAACTGCCGCTTGCCTCATACAAACCACTGTTTAGCAATACCTGTCTGTGGATTGAATGTTGACCAGTGTGTGACATTTTACTGGTGACCTCAGTTTTCAAAATTCCTTCTAAACTTAACATTTGCTGCAGCCAGTGAGCTTCTACTGGTTAAAAAGCTCAGTCAATATGTTAAAAAAAAATAAAATGTGTGCAGAAATAACACAGCAGTGACACCGTTGGATCTTTTGCTCATCTTTTTTTTTTATTTCATGATTAATATTCACATCACTAGTTAACAATTAATCACAATGAACATCTCTTTCATACCAAATACTCAGAATTGAAGGGGGGGAGATGAGCTCTACCTAATAGGACGGATGCCTCTAACAACCAGCAGCTTGTTTGTTGTCTTCTGCATGCTCTTGCTATGGTGTTGTGCCCTACAGAATAACACAGCACACACTACAGCGGATCCACTCCACAGTACTGAAAAGAAGTTCTCTTTTACCTGCTGCCTCTCACCTCTATTACAAGATGACCATTAAGTAAGTAAGGGCACGCAGAAGACCAAAATACAGAGTACAGTTTCAGCACAAACTTGACATTTTCTACTCCCCCTCCACATTGGAACAGAACTGGTTTTACTGGGCAGCTGCTGCACACAAGTTAAAATCTGCTGCTTTTCAGTGCTGCGGTGCTGATGAGCGTCTGTAGGTGGGAGACAGAGCGATGGGGCTCCAGGTGCATATCTACCAACACTCCCTTTAACTTTTTCTCCAGGTGCGTTTAAGACTTTGTTTGAGCTCAGCAATTATTGATTAATTTTTTAATAACACTAGTCCAAAATGTTCCTTTATTGTTTTTCTCATTGACACTGAGAATTTGGTCCAAGACTTGCCCTAATTCCGTCCCGTGTTGGTAGGTATGTCGAGGTGTCTATAGAGGAGCTGTCTAATACAGGACATTACTTTCTACCACATGCCAAAAGACTAAGTCTGGTTACTGTTAGTCTGACTGAGGGGGTGGCGGTGGGCAGAAGACAGGCCTGGACAGTGTGTGTCACAGCGTTTCTCACCAAAATCACAAACCAATCAAACTGCTTCTTCCTCAATTCTGAAGCTCTCTTTCTGCAAACCTCCTCTCCCCTACAGACCAAAGCCAGCGTGACACACACTGCCTTGTCTTGCTGCCTGAATCTGGTAAATATCTGGTGCGTCATATGTGATCTATCTTCCAAAACAGAACAGAGACAAACCTCATACATGTATTCATAATCTTGCATCTTTAATACATTTTTAAAAACATTCTTGAAACTTCAGCAGCCCTTTTCTTGGCGGAAAAAAGGCAGACTCTGAAAAAGAAAAAGTACACTTTTCCTTTCTTATGCTTTCAGCCTTATAATAATACTATTATTAACCTTAACGGTAACAGCTCTATGAACGTGAACGCTCATCTGTCAACACCCACAACACCCTGTTAAGAAGTAAGATTTTTTTTTTTCTGTTTTTTTTTTTTTCTGTTTTTTTTTGTTTTGTTTTGTTTGATTTTAATTAATTCGAGTTACTTCTGGAGTGATAAAAACATGGTGGTGTCTATTTACAAGGGACAGTGTGAGATACTAGTGGAAGGGTGGTATTCAAGCGCTATAACTGGGGGATTCAAACAGTTGTGAACAGACATTGGAGTGAATTTTGTTCTTACTTTTTGTCCAAGCTGCAAAGCGACAGATTCAGGTTTACCTCCCACCTGACCATAGTAATAATGAAGTCCTAACTCTGTGATTAATACGCTGGTGCATTGGTTTCCTTCCTAAATATTTAAAGGGACGCCTGGAACCATAATTATTTCTGTTGGGCAGCAGACAGGATGCAAAGACTTTTGAGGTTGCCTATTATTACTACTATTAAAATGGATTGTGTTTACTGGCTCACTGTTATAATGCAGCTATTTGCTCTCTAACAGGTTGTATTTTAAATTTCTCCCAAGTGTCCATTTAGTCCAAAGTTGTTCATTTTGGCCCCACAGTTGTTTATTTTCTAGATCCTGTCTAAAGTTAAAATGTGCATGAAAGGGCAGATCACTTGCCGTTTAAATAATATTTTTCAAATTTAAAATTTTGTTGTAAAAATGGATGTATACAAATTGTGTGTAATTTCGTTAAGATTGCAACATATGGCCCTTAACCTCTCAAGCTCAAGGCTATTTTTTCAAAGTTCCAGCTAAAGAAACATCCCAAAATTTATCCAGTAACAGCTGCACAACTGTGAAGCCAAAACAAATACTTCTGGGCTTGTGACCCGTTATTACATTTTGTATTCAGTAAGTCTCTGTGTCCCCATCACCGGGTCAGAGTGAGATGTGAAAATCAAACATCTCCATCGAATCAAAACTGTAAATCAGAGAGTCAATAACAGCCTTAAAACATCCAGAACTGTAACCCTACTAAATTAGATGTCACAGAAATGTGGCACAGCAAATTGTACATCTATTTAATCACAGTAGCACTGTTGACCTCTTCCCTGGATGCACCCAGCTTGGCAACTTTCAAAAAAAAACATAGCAGCACGTTGCATTTTAATAGCAGATCTGGGTACAGGAGCTGCCCTGGTGGAAGGGGTTAACTGGAACTAGGCTTACTTTTATGGCCTGAAGACTCATTCATTGTAAGACAGAGCAACTTTAGATACTTGCTAACTGCTCATTTAAACCAAAAAGACAGTGTTTTGAAAGTCTTTCTGACCTTTAGTCCTTTAAAGTGCGTCATACCCATTTAATCTTGCATCCGCTTTGTTGGGCGGTTGGGTCATAAACCTTGCAGATTTACTGCCTTTTTAAATGTATAATTATAACGGAAATCCCTTAAAATCACTGAACATGCTGTATGCTAACGGGGTGAAAATGATTGAAATGTTTGGCCAGAGGTAGTTCTGACACCAGTCCTCTAAGCACACATCAAATAAGGCTGCTGTTGACCTCTTTAAAGCTCAGTGAGGCCCTTTAATGAACACAAATGGACCCACTGAGTCGACGTGACTTTGCAGCTTGGCCAGAACGTAAGAACCAGTGAATGTTATAACAGGAACAACATGAGGGCGGACTGGAGAGTGGAGAGTTAAACCATCATAGCCAACAGCACAACACCAAAGTTCCACTAAATTCCACTAAGCCGACCGAGATGAAGGAGCGGCGACGAGTCACGTGACCCCGGCCTCCTCCCGTCACGCGGTCGCACGCTCTTACACTGAGCTGCTTACACACAATAAGACTACAACTTGCTTCCTATCTTTATGTACACAATCCACTGCCTACGCCTATCAAAGTGCTTTCATACCTTTGCTCTTCTGTTCCCGAAGAAAGGTTCACATTATTCTTTTCACATATGACCCACACATATGCCATGTGACGTGTGTTACTTTTAGGCAACTCATGGGAATGATTTGGAGGGAACAGTACAATATTAAATATGCTTATACGGTGCTTTAAGTTGTCTTAATTGTTGACTATTTGATCACTTGCTCTTTGATTATCATAACTTGATCTAACTACCAAGACTGTTTTTGTTCCCAGAAGCACACATGTACAGGACACAGCTGACAATGTTTTACCAATATACAGTAAAGCAACTTTTATATCACTGGAGTGCATCAAGAAATGAACAAAGTGCACAAGACTTTAGAGTTTTCAGGGGGGAGCTGTAGATGATTTCCAATAGTATTTAGTGTTCCAGACACAGTAGTATAGTGCTAGTTTAAATGAGGACAGTAATGAACTGTATTGTAGCTTCTCTAATGGTGGTGTAAAGGTTTCTAAGTCAGCCTTTGTTAAGTCACAGAGCCAGACTATCAGTGTTTCCAGAGGCTAAGCAGCGCTCTCTACAGGATGGATGCAGTAGTAACACTTCACACATCTGACAACTACGGCAGCACGCCACAGACACGTCACCCATCCCTCAGTGTTTTCAGCGGAGACCATCCCAGCCTTTTAAAGCACAGTGAGCAGACAGGGCCCTTTCTATCTATTATTGGTGTGATGCACAACAACGCTCATGGTCTGTAAATCAGAGTCACGTCACAGTGTCGGGTTATCAGCATGTAAAATGAGTCTGAAACTGAATTTAGGTGATTTCTTCCAATAAAACACATCAGGTTGAAAAGAGGAGTCACCTCTTTTCTCCAACAGTGGATCGTTTTAGACTTTTAACAGTTGTAGAAACTGAGAAAAATGGTCTTCATCGGGTTTATTTCTATAGTGTGTGCTGTGATTATTTTCATAGCTTAAAATGTGGATTTGTATTTTACAAAAAAAGATTAAAACGACTACTTCGAACCCCGTCGGATGGTCCCGACAACAGTAATCGCAGGCCGCTCTTGGATCCGCCTCGCTGAAATACTGCTGCATTCATGGCATTTTGGAGGTGGGCACTTCCTGCTGTCCAGTTTAGAATTTTTTAAATTATTCTTCCAAACCTTTAAGAATCGCTTGTTGTTTTTGTTCATCCAGTAATATGCTTTACAAAATCAAACCTATCTGAACAAAAATGTAAATTACTTCCACATACTTACACTACTCATGTAGGGTAAAACACGCCAGAATAACTAGAAACTCGATCATCTGCTACTGTTAAAAGACACCACAGATGTCTTGGTTGTAGCTTTTAGTAGTTTCAATCTACTAGGCAGAGTCTAGTATAAATAAATCACTCCTTACAAAGAAAATTCCAACTTCAGAGTTGCCTTGAATGCAGCATTATTCCCTTTAACTGCAGCTCTCCCTGCATGTGAACCTGCTCTTCTCTCCTAACTACAGTCAGTGGTTGTTGTCCGTCCATCTCTGTCTGTCTGTCTGTCTGTCTGTCTGAACGGTCCTGTGTATGCGCAAGTAACAGGAGGCCTTCCCCACTAAGATCATTATATTGCTGTCAGAGAATTGGAGTGAGGCACAGGAAGAGGAAACGGACGAGAAGGGAGGCGGCGTGAGGTGAGCCTATGATGAAAATGTCTGACAATGACTATGACAGGAACAACACACCGACACAGCTCATCATTGTTTTAACAATATCAGCATAGACCACCAAAACACAATAAAGAGTTGGTTTCATTCTAGAGAAGAGAAACGAACAGCATACCGTTTTTTTTTATTTCAGGTTGCTGATCTGTGTTTTTGTGTGTATTATACTGTTTGTGTGTGTGTGTGTGTTTCTGTGCACACCAACAAGCATGTGTGTGCTTTCCTGTATCGATCTGTGCTTTATGTGTGTGTGTGTTTGTGTGTGTTTGTGTGCAGAAAGTTAGCAGGTTTCACGGAGTGGGTTCTACGACGCACCGGCTAGAGGGAGGACGGAGCGAGAGGGCGTGGCTCTGCAGCCCCGCCCCTCTCCACTGGGGGTGAAACCACATGACCAGGAAGTGCCACATGTGCGCAAAAAAGAAGGAGAGTGTTTGTCTGACTGTCTCTAATAACCGCACACGAACTGGTAAATGCAGCTCACAGGGTGACTGCTGGGGTCCCTCACAGGGGGGTGCAGGTGTATGGGTTGAAGGTGGTGCAGGAGAAGCATGTGTGGTGGCAGCAATAGTCGTACTGAGAAGACCAAAGCCACACACACATGTATGTGAGCTTACTTGCAGATGAAGGTTGAGGGTTGTAAGTCTTATACTGAAAGAGTTGTTTCTTTAAGGTGCTTTTTTGGTTGTTTTTCATACTTTGATCAACAAAGACTGTCCTGGCAAAGTGTTCGGCTTCATCTGCAGGATGTGAATGGGAAGTAGCATGACTGTTATATAGCGCCACAGCACCATACTCATTCCCACAGGGTGGTAATACCCAGACATGTCTATGCTGTGATATATGAGCAAATACTCCAATGATTGAATACTGTAGCAAGCAAAGAGCATGCTTGTGCCAATCATCACAACAGCACTCCGAGCTACTATTTTCTCTGCACTGTGCCATTTATTCTGCCCTTCGCAATTTGTTCTCCTGATTGTACATAATTTTCAATCACTTACTGAGGAGGGGAGAACAAGCACTCTGAGCTTGCAAGCCTGCTAGCACAGTTGCTCTCCGTACAATTAGTTCACAGTTTGTACAAAACTGTTTGATTGTACCACTGATTCCCATCTCCTCTCTGTTGCGGAACAGTTAAGATTTCAACACAGGAGGGCTCAATTAAAGCTGATGGTTCAACACAGCTTTAAAGCCAAAGTAACTTCCTCCATTGTGAACTGCAGCTCTCTGTTCCTGATGCACTGTCAAGACAGCTTGCTTGTGGGCATTGGCTCAAATTAGTCAGTAACTCAGGTTCAACTCGATGTGAACCGTTCAAGCGATCCACAGATCCTGACAGATTTGTTTTGAATTTGCCTCTAAACGTTGCCATTGACTGTGCTGATGTGACTGAACCTTTACAAAGCAGCCCAGGGGTTGACACTGTCTGCAATATGTGCTACAAACAACATACAGTGCATTAATCCTGTCATGTTCCGTGACTAAAAGGTGCAGCAGATGGTGGTCTCACCTAAAAATTCTACACTAATCATCAAGGGTTAAATACTCCAGTTCGAGATCATTCCACCAGCCTGAATTTGCATTCGCTCCTTCAAGGTCAGACTGGTCCTAACTTTGAAAAACATATTTGGCTCCACGATCAAATGCATGCTGTCAGTGCCGAATCTTTTTGAGCCAGAGAAGCAGCACTGCTCCCGTATCCCTCCCCGTCCTGCACTGATGATTATCATGCACTAACCACATCATTGAATGATGTTTCAGATTGTACTGAAACTCATTTGCTTTGTTGAAGCCTTTTCATCATGACTTAACAAACGTAACTAAGGAATTGTCTTACATTCTTGAAGCATCCGCACTGATTTTATGTGCTGATTTTGAAATCTCCATTCAAAGCCGCTCTACTCTATAATACGTCTGTGCTCTCTGCACCCATCGCTGCTAGCTGTGAGTATCATGATATCAATTGTCCACAGATAAAGAAGCATTGTTATAATGAATGTCGAGGAGACAAACTGGTGCAATGATACTGAGAGAAATGCTGTGATATAATGGTTGATGAAGCTGTAGGATGACCTATAATGAGACCTGTGCTGTAGATATCAGATGGACCGGGGATGGAGAAAGTAGCGTTAGCATGAATCCGCTAACAAGGGTGGGAAATCAAAGGGCTTTTGAAATGAGACAGCCTGTAAGAGGGACCAGAACAGCCTCAGAACTGTGATTTCAGGCAAGTGTTTAGACTCACAGGTTGAGTATTCTATGAAAAAAGTGGCTTAATATATGTAGTACAGCACTGACTGTGATAGTGGGATTATTGCATTGGGGTTGTTATATTTGGGGTTTAAGTCATCTAAATCAGTGCTTACGAGGAAATTTTATCGGTCGAGAAGCTGGTGGAAACCCCACACAGAGAAACACAGACAAACAGAAAGTGCTCTTCTCTGTGGTAGGCAGGGTCAAAGGTCAACCCAAAGGGCGTCGACAGGTCAGAGGTCAGGGGGGTTTGTAGCAGGAAGCTGGCAGGCAGACCCCAGAGAAACACTGAGAGGTGATCGGTCAGTTCGGTGCTGCGGTGGGCGAGATGAAGGGCGGGGCCAGAGGGAAGTGACTGCGCCGTGGTAGGTTGGTTGGTCAGTTGATTGGCAGGTCGGCGAGCGCCATGCGAGTCCCACCAAAATCTGCATTTCACTGGGACTCAGTCTGCAGAGGGAAAGAAACAGAGAAAACAAAAATGATGCAGAGACGGGGTTGGAAATTTCCAGAGTTTTAATGCTGCCGTCCAGATGGTCTCTACCTAATAGGCTGTGACTGTCTGCTGCAGGTTCTTATGAATTATGGGCCAAATTAGAAAGCATTCCTTTTGCTTTATTGTATTAGCGCTACAGCCATCCATCAATTAGGCCCAATTTGGCATCATCAGGTGGCAGAAGTCTGCTGTCCCTCTGAACTCAGGGAGTCTGGAGGCCAGCTGCGGTGCTGGAGATGAATTTATCCACTAAGACTTCACTTAGAAGGTCTCCAGATAATTTCATTTGGTAGCAAAGTGTGCTATTTTTACCACTTCATTAGGCACGTAGCAGAGAGGAGAGACACACTCACATGCATGCACAACATCTGCAAATTGATAACTGTTTCTGCAATTGACCTTCAGATAAACCCAAGGATAGCGATTGTCAAGTCACAGCTCAGCAACCATAATGGCCGAGGCAGAGCTGATGACCTGTGGATTCTTCCATATGTTGAAGCAGCGTACATACATGTTCAAGACAAAAACACAAGAGCAAAGGTGAAAGGAAATACATGAGAGTGGATAATGTCAGATTAACCTCTGATTTATCTGCAGTCCTACAACAGTAACATGCTGCAGACACATTAATGCTTCAGTATTAATGACCTAATAATGTTATACTGTATATAATACTGTATCAGTCAGACGGACCAAACTAGTACTTTTACTTTTATACTTTAACATTTTTAATACTTGTGTTCTCTTGCTTGAGCAGGACTTTTATATGCAGGCTTTTCACTTGTAGTGAAGTCTTTTAACATTGCTGTATTATTGCTTTTACCTACATAAAGGATCTGATGCTTTTTCCACAACTGCTGGCTTGCAGATTCCAGATATAGGGTCTTACTTCTGTCATTTGTTTTATGTGGTAAATTTGCCAGTATTGTGAACTATATACTAATGCATCTCATACAATTAGAACATGCAAAAAAGTTAAGTAAACTGGATTTCCAAAATCATCCATCCATCCATCATCTATACACCGCTTAGTCCTCACTAGGGTTGTGGGGGGCTGGAAACTATCCCAGCTGACTCAGGGTGAAGGCAGGAGACACCCTGACAGGTCACCAGTCTATCACAGGGTTACACTTAGAGACAGACCACCAAGCACACTCACATTCACACCTACGGACAATTTAGAATCACCAATTAACCTCAACATGTTTTAGGACTGTGGGGGAGGAAGCCGGAGAACCTGGAGAGAACCCACGCTGCACGGGGAGAACATGCAAACTCCACACAGAAAAATCCCGGGTGTCCTCACTGGGACGCAAACCAGCAGCCTTCTTGCTGCGAGGCAACGCTGTTAACCACCAATCCACCTTGCACTATCTCCAAAATCATCAAAAATAATAACATAGAATGTATTACATTTTCACTTTTGTAAATGACTGGTGGAAAATATTAAACTTTTTCACAATGTTCTAATTTTTTGGGCTGCACTCGTATGTGCCCGACAAACATCAAGTCTGACAGGTGTAGCAGCCATAAGTTAGAGGGGTACTACTCAGCGACCAGTCAGCTGGATACAATCTCAGATGAGCCTTTAAATGCTGTTAAAACTGACGGATCTGTTTACACCTACTTGTCTCAGTGACACGCTTGTCTATGCTAAGGGGCTCCCTCAGTCCATCTCCCCCAAAAGGAGTGGGTGTGGGCTCCTTCACGCCGTTCTCCTTAGCAACACCGCCTGGTGCTGTTGCCTTAGCAACGCTTGCTGGTCCTGTTGTCTGAGCGCCACTCGGGGGTGAAGATGTTTTCTCCTCTGTTTTCTCCTCCTGCAGCCAAATATAGAGCAGGTACAGACAGACAGACAGACACAGAAAGAGCACAGTTAAACGTACAGCTCTCAGGCCACCACACCATCTAGTGGTGTCGGCCAGTAACAGCACAGTGAGTCAGCAGAACCAGGTAGGTCCACATCAGCCGCTGTGTTTGACCTTGTGTCCGTTGGTCTGTCCGTTTCCTGGCCCCACGTTGTCGAGGGATCCAATCTTAGACTTAGCTTTAATGTTTAGCTTATGCGACTCAATCTTCACGTCCCCGCCACCTGAGGTAAAAACAGAAGGTTGGAATGAGAACACAGTTGTATAGACAGAGTTTAAAGAGAAGAAAAGTCCAGGAGAGCACAAGTTTGAAGTTGGACCTGGCTTGTATTTGATGTTGTCCTTGGAGCCACATTTGGACGTCACCTTGCTCACATCAACCTTCTTATTCAGGATCTGCACCTGGAGAAGAGTAGATATCATAACGTTGCCTCTTTTTTATACAGAAACTCATAAAGACACCCCATCCAGTACAATGCATGTATAGATCAATGTCCGCTTAATGTACTTTAGAAAGTCACTGTCATTCATTGTCGCACACCTGGTGCATTTAGAGAGTATTTATGGAATATGAGGGAGATTGGCATTCAACAAAACAAATCCCTTCCTACATAACCATGCTTCATGCTTGGCTTTGACCTGTTTTATTGTCTCTGAAGGTGCCTTTTTGTTTTGTTCGGCTGGTAAATGATGCTCCATTTATGGAGATAAATCAGGATGGGCTATAATTGGAAGGTGGGCGCAGGCAGTTATTAGACCACTGTCACATAATGAGAGTGTGTGTTCCTAATCCTGAGTAGTCTGCCGGCAGCTGGCACTGATGGATTTTAAGTGCCAGTGACCTGCCTGACAGTCTGTGCAAAGATCAGTCAGATTTACATATTTGATGACAGACTGGAGCACTAACAGTGAGCCGACCATGACCCTCAGCGCTGTTAAAAGTTTCATTTAGCCACGCAAACCATCATTTGTTCTGATGCCTGATTGACCCAGAGCATTCGATCATTAGAGGCAGCTTGACAAATATTTGAATTCTTACCGGTAAATTTAAATATTCCTAAAGTCAGTTTTGACTGTGGAAACATTTTGGCGACGTTGGTAAGTACGGAAAATTAAATTATTGGTGGTTTATATTAAATTCCAAGAGATGTATATAGTATCTTTGTACTGTGGTGTTAGTACTGGTTGTACTGACTTGTACGTACAGTGTCTATCAAAAGTATTCACTTCCCTTCGAGGTTTTTCCCTTCCTTTGCTTTTCAGCATCAAATCACAGTCAATATAAGAAGCTGTTTGTTTGTTTTAAAAACAAGAATTTACCAAAATTCTCTTTCATGTCAATGTGAAACAGATTTCTACCAAGTAAGGTCAAACATTAAAAATAAAAAATGTAATATAATTGATTGCATAAGTGTTTGTTCCCTTTGAAGTGACTCATCTAATTCAACACAAGTGCAGCCAGTTGGTGCTAGAAGTAACATAATTAGTTAAATGGAGATCATCCAAATGCAGCGAATGTGTCTCAAGTGACTGTAATATTAGAAGACACGTATCTGGAAAGGTCCAGTTACTGGTGAATCGGTACTCCTGGTTGTAACTACCCAATTAAGACATAAGAATACTCCCAGCAACTCTGCAAAAAGGTTACTGAAATACAAGAAAACTTCCAAGTCACTGAATATCTCTTGGAATACAGTTAAATCCATCATTAAAACATGGAAAGAATATATCACATGCATAAATCTGCCTAGAGCAGATCCTCAAAAACTCAGCGAGTGTGCAAGAAAGAGACGAGTGAGAGAGGCTACCAAGATACCTATGACTCCTCTGAAGGAGCCACAAGCTTCAGCAGCTGAGATGGAAGAGACTGCACATACAACTGTTGCCTGTTCTTCACCAGTCAAAGCTTTATGGGTGTGTGGCAAAGAAAAAGCCAATGTTGAAAAAAAGCTATGTTAAATGTTACATTTTGATTCGAGTTCACAAGAAAGCATGTGAAAGACTTGGACACCAAACAAACCAAACACTGCACATCATCACAAACACAACATCACCACTGTGAAGCATGGTGGTGGCAGCATCATGTTGTGGGGATGCTTTGTGGCAGCAGCTCTTAGGAGGCTTGTAAAGGTTGAGTATAATACAGTAGTGTCTTGGAAAATCCTGAAGGACAACCTGATGCAGTCTGCAAGGGAACTGTGACTTGTTTTTTTGTTTTTTTTTAGCAAGACGGTGACCTGAAGCATAAAGCTGAAGCTACACAGTAATGGTTTAAAGACAACAAGGTGAATGTTCTGGGGTGGCAGAGTCAGAGCCCAGACCTCAATCCAATTAAAAAGGGCTGTTTACTCATGATCCCAGTGCAACCAGACAGAGCTTGGAGAGTTCTGCAAAGAAGAAGAGGGTAAAATTGCAGTGTCGTGATGTGCAAGGCTGACTGAGACCTATCCACAGAGGATCAATGTTGGAATCATGGAAGGAAGGTGCATCTACTAAATACTGACTTGACTGACGATGCAATCACTTATTTCAAGTTTTATAATTGAAATGATTCAACATTGCTTTGTAGAAATCTGTTTTCCCTTTGACATTAGATAGTGTTTTTGGTAAATTCAAAAAAGCCAAATTAAATTGACCATCATTCATTGCTGAAAATCAATAAAAAGAGAAACTTCCAAACCAAATGAATACTTTTTAAGAAACCGTATTTACTTTATGTAGAAAAAGGCTAACTTAATGACTGAGGCTGTTCTATATATAGTACATCAGTATGTTGGTCCATATAGTATTTTTGCTTTTGTGTGTCATACATGTTTTGGTTTTTGGACAGTCCACACTGGATCCATGTGCATTCCGACAGAGAACACAACATGGTGATTGAGAACTGGTGTAAATGCAGAAAACAGGGCTGACTACCTGTGCTCTACTTCTATAGCTGCAGCTACCTATACAGTCAAGATGTAGGGAGGTGAGAAAACAAAATATGCTAAAATTATATTTATTTACACATACGAACATGAAGTCTTTCAGTCTGGGCATGAGTTATTCCGAGTATATGTTTTATGTTTTGTTTAATTGACCTGAGAAAGCAAAGTGGTGGTTGTGAGAGCAGCCCACAGATGGAACATGATAGTGCAGTAGGTGTTTGGAGCAGATGGGAACAACATCTGAAAGGGTGGGTACAGGGACCTGTGGTCAGTTCACTTAACGTTGAAGTGAAATCAATCCAAAAATGCAAACAGTGGGAGTCACTGATGTGCCAATTACGATGCATTCGTTCTTAGTTACTTTGAAAACGATCTGCTTTCAAGTAAATGTTTGATGCTGGAAGAGGTTTTGATCATTATAGCTGAGCTCCATTTGCTTCCATTTTCTAAATCTGTCGGCAGAGGCCCAATCAGGGAAGATGTGTGGATACAGTATCCTGATGGTAAATCAAACTGATTTGATTTTGTGACCAATAAGTATCAGATTGACTCAATCAATCAATCAATCAATCATACTTTATTAATCCCCACAGGGAAATTACCTACTCACGATTGTATAAACAATGTTGAAGTGAATACAATAGTGGTCTGATTTTGCTTGTTGTAGGAGTCTTTCAAGAATCATACTGCATCAATGTGGTTTAGGTTTTTTGCCTGTTTCTGCAATTAGCAGTAAGTGCTATGATAGGCATCCACAAATGGTGAGCCACATTTACATTTCAAGAACATTAATTCTCCTTTTATCCCTTTTTGACAAGTTAGCTCTTTTTGTGACTGCCAGAAGGAATAAAAAGAAGATTCCCAATTGATCACCAGTTTGAGCCCAAATGTACCTACATTAGCATAAAATGTGATTTGCATCCACCCAGGACAGAGTTTGTTTCCAGCTCCAGCAGTACTTACATTGCCACCTCCAGGGACATGTTTGATATTGTCCTTGGAGCCACAGCGAGAGGTGACGTGGCTGAAGTCCAGCTTTTTGTGCACTATCTGAACCTAAAGACGGGCAGGCAGACACACAGACAAGCAAAAGAGAAAGAAAGAAAGGAAGGAAGAAAGAAAGAAGGGAAGGAAGAGAGAAAGAGAGAAAGAAAAAGAAAGAAAGAAAAGGCAGACAAGAGCAGCAGAAAAGAGCAGATCAGCTGGCAGCTTTAGTTGACAGGAAACAGAGTAGCCTTGTGCTGTAAGTATGGAAGAGATTCTGTTATTCAAGCCAAATAATTCCTTGAAGTTCAGTGATTGTCTGCATTTTATAAGAATTAATCACCAAATGGTACAGAAAAAAAACAAAAAACAATTGTGCTTCTGAATAAGGATCCTAATGGGATAGATTCTCAGAGAAATGACTGCAAATTCTTACAAAAAGTAACATTGAACTAGCAAAAGATGAGGATACTGACTGAATAACAACAGAGAGCTTCCATAAACAGCAGTAGCTACAACTAAAAAAAGCACAGGACAAAGACTGGAAGATGAGACGGAGCACATGCAACAAAATATTGCACTGGACAGTCAGTGATTTTGTGTTAAAGCAACATTATGCAAATATTTTACCTTAAGATAATGGGATCAGAAGTAATTTGATGGTACACTAAGACCCCCCTCCCCTCCTATGATGGCAGGTATGACTTCCTATGAAGACTGCTTTACATCACCAACTATGGGTCTTCAGTCAGCTATAAGAAGAAGCTTCTATTGCGTTCTCAGTATGGACATCACTGGAGTACTGGTTGCCACCTGCCATAAAACTGTGAAAAGGTCAAGATTCAACGTATGAAGAGAATGGTGACAGATGGAGCTAAAAGAAGAGACAAGACTAAAGGGCCTTTCCCTCTACAGAAACTTTCCCCCAGGGACTAGGAACCTTTGGAGGAACTCAGTGTGTTTCCACCGAGGGACCAGTGTCTACATTCAGTTCCTGCTCAAGGGCTGGTACATTTCAGAGAACTTTGGGAGTGGAGCTTGCAGCTCTGAATATTTCAGACTGACTGAAAACTCGTAGCATTTAATTTCAGCGACCATTTTGTAAAATCTGTCGTAGTATGAAGTGTTTTTGTTGACCATGTTTCGATACATTAAATTGAAGCTGCATAAGAAAGCACACGACGGATGGACAAAGTGTAATATAGTCGCACACGAAAACGGTGTGTAAATCAGCCATCTTTGTTGGCCTTTAGAACGTGGTGGAAACACAGATGACCAGCAGTCTGAAGGGACCTTTCAGTTTCTTGAAAAAACATTCCTGGCTCCAAAAGTTTCAAGGTACATTGGGTGGACGCATGTCTCGAAACTCTGACTAATTTTTAGTCGCTGGCTGCAAAACAGGTGCAGAGGTCACCTTCTTGCTTTTGGAAGTTGGAAGGAACATTAGCTGGTTTGCTATGTCTTGTGTTGTTGCACTTGCTTGATGTTTGGCTGTCATAAAAGTTGACAACTCCCTAGCTTTTGATCACAAGCCAAGCCAGCTCATTTTGATAGAGGTTGTGCCACTAGCTGGACATCTCGATGGAAAGAGATAGCTTCTTCTTTACTCAGCTCGTGATAGAACTTCTGTCACTGGCTTTTGCTATATGTTGGTAAACTGTGCTGTGGAATGACATTTTTCTGTCATTGCGATTTGTGGATGTGATTCAGTATCCTAAAATTAGGACGGTACAAAATGGAACAACATAATATAACGTGTAAACTGATGACTTTTTTCAGCAAAAGAAAATATGGTAATATGTTACCTGCACCTGTGAACAGCAGGATTGTAGGTTTGCATTGAGATGATGATTTTGTGTTTGCTGCACGAGCAACTGAGCAACGCAAGACAGCAGAATTCACTGCACCAGAAGCCTGTAATTAACACTTGTGGTCACAAAGACTGCTGTTGCTGCTGCTCAGCAAGAATTACATAATGTTACTTTAACACATGCGCTCTAAGAAAAGACGCAGGTGCAAGCAATAAGACAAGTTTCATCTATAAAGGTGTTTGTCTAAAGTTCCAGCAAAAGAACTTTTTTTGCAGCTTGCAATATTTATACTGGTGTCTATCTGTTTAATATTGGTGGTTCGTGGGGAAAACACTGTTTGGACTGGATCAGATGTTGTTGCAGTCGTGCAAATAACCCGTACTACTGCAAATAATCGCTGAATAAAACTGGCAGCAAGATTGAATGCTGCTTTAATATAACCTTTAAAGGCTCTAATAAGATTCTGATATATTGATGCTGAACGCTCTTGTGTTTTGTGCTGACAGATCATCAGGAAGTGATGGTGGGAAAGATGCAACCAGATCCATGACATCATTCAGCACAAGTAAAGATATTTAGTAGTTGAAAACTGGTCAGAGGCCAAGATTAAATAGTTTCCTGGTCTGCACTGAGGACAAGATAACCAAGTGGCCGAACAGGGGCAGTAAATTTATGCACACGTTATGTGGGCCTTCCTGTACTGTCTAGTCTTATAAAATCTAAAAATATTAATGACACAAATGTCACACTTAAACTGCTTGACAAAGCTACTGATGTTAATTATCCCAAGTCTTAAATAGTACAGAGTCACATAACTGTGGGAAAAGAAAAACACACAAAAAACATTAATAAATGAAAATAAATACAGACACAACAACTACAATAAATATGGATGAAGATTAAAATAACTCGTAGTTCAGGAGAGTTACTGCACTTTGTTAGAATGTGAGCTGGTGTCTGTTGGTTTCTACGGCTCCTTTTTCCACATTCAGTGCTATTGCAGAGTTTGGACATCAGGTAGAGTAAAACAAGGCAGAGGAAGACATCCTGCATCTCCTGTACTTCTCCCTGTGGAGCTCTTACCAGGATCCTTTCAGCTAAAATTGAGATTGTAAACACTGAGATTTGGGAAAGTCAAAGTGTAGGTCTAAAGTCAAGGTCAGTAAAGTGAGATTTTAAAGCAATACTTGTATGCCCATATGTTCAATAAAAATCTTACTGACTGGTGTCTACAATTGTCATTCATCCTGAAGGTCCAGGTCTGGGAGTCAGACAGAGGAAGTGGGTCTCTTTCAAAGTTTAATTTAAAAAAATATATATTTTAGTTAAAAAATAAAAAATCTCTCCTTGTGTTACTATCCCTATTCTGTAGCTCAGCAAAGAACCACAAAATGAAAATGTCCCCCCCCCAAAAAAACTACCTAACTGTGGAAGATGGCCTTTTGATTTGTAAAACTCACACACTCTCTTCAGTTTGGTTTTTGAAAGCTTTTACAATGAATGAAAACTGTGAATTCTGTCCCACTGCACAGAATCAAAGGATCTGTTAGTGACAGGTGGAAAAATTTAGGATACACTTCAGAAAACAAATTGTTTATCCCTGAAAGTCCCTCTTCATTGAATTGAATTTCCCTTCTGGGATGAATAAAGTATTTTTCATTCATTCATTCATTTCATTTCATTCATTTCAGCCACTGATTAAGCCCCTAAAAACTCATCTATGTGTATCAAAGTTCAGCAGGTTTGTTTGTTTTTTCTCATTAAAATAATAACTTCACCCTGATTGGTTCCTCAGCTTTGGTACATATGAAACCCTGGAAGTCTGAATCTGTGTTTCTGATAATGTCACCAATAATAATAATAATAATAATAATAATGATGCACATAGAAAAAGCAATGGAGGTGTTTTGGAATTGCAGCAGAACCACTTTCCACTGTGTACTCACATCCCTACAGAGTCAAATTAGCCCAAACTTTTACTTCCAGGGGTAAGGCAGTCAGAATAGTTGTTATTTTTATTCAGTCACTTTATAACTACCAGCGTCAATGCTACAGGTGGCCCACTGCCTTGTTAAGGTAGTTCATAGTGTTGGAAGTACAGGTATTGAAAAGATGTAAAGATGATTTATTGTCTCTAGTCTCATCCATCAATGACTAACCGAACCTCTCCTTTTATCAAACAATCAAGTTTTTGAAAATCAAACAATTCCATTGTTATTGCAGTTTTACCACTGAGGACTCAGTAGACCCTCCCCCTCAAGCATGAGGTCACTCCTTTCAACGTGATATCAGCTTCTTTGCTCCTGTGGTTGTATTGCCCAAAAAAAACCAAAAACCAAAAGCCCTGTAGCAGACATACGACGCCATCCTCCATTCTCTCATCGTCTGTCTTAGTCTCCTTCTCCAGGATGAAAATGGCATGATGACGCAGGTGGCACCAGCAAAGGATGACTCACTGAGCAGTTAGCACATGTACGCTTAATGCACACACACACACACACACACACACACACACACTCACACACAAAGAGCAGCAGCCTGCAAACAGTGCTTTCCTCTCCGTGTTTTTCTCCCTGATAGCGCATCGTAAACATCCTAATTGATTTCAAGCAGCACAGATTTACTGGCTGCAAGGTTGTGGTTCATCGTGTCTCCTTAATATCCATGAAGCTTCTCGTGCTCGCTGGTGAGCTGAAGGGACACTGCAGGATGCTGGAAACAATTCCCTACATTACTACAAGTGCAAAAAAAACAAAACAAAAAACAAGTGAAACTAAACTGGGAGTGCAACAGGAATGAACGTTTCCAGCCAAAGAGAATATATGGTTACTTCAGTGATTAGTTTCTTCTCAGGATGCCTGTATATGCACCATCTGTGTACAAACTGTGTGCACACTGTCTAACTAACACAGCAGAACAGAACAAAAACAGCAAATAACTTGTATATTGTTTATTTCTTGTACTTCTTTGGTTTTCAGTATGTGGTTATCTATGTGTTTTGGAGACGGCTGACTAGAAACACAGAGCAGCTGGCCATGACTTGGCTACGGAGCCAAGCACGTTTTCAAGATAGATGTCACCAGTTGTGACGTAATCGAGGACATTTTCGGTGGAACACTGGCACAAAAAGGCACGGAGCGGCTGTTAATCTGTAGCTGCACAAAAATCAATGGGCATTGGTCGTCACGCCTGGGTTAAAACAGAAACACAAAGCTGACACTTTAATCAATTTTGTGTTGTACAAGGAGAAACACCGAACACAGTGTGTCACCAAAGGTGTCCTTTACAAAGTGTGTATGGATATGGAGGCATGGATGATGGTATTGGTTGAACTGGAAAGACAACGTAGTTGGTTGGATGTACTGAACAGTGTGTGAAGCTCAGGGCATGTAAATGTGACACTGTGATGGAAATGAAACAATAACTTGCGGAATTTATCAGCTATAGAAAAGTGCAATAAACGCTCCAACTATATACACAGAATTGCTGTCTTTTGGTATTCTTTTCCCATTTTGTTAATGGTTCATAACCCAAATTCCACGACAGCAACTGGGGCATGATCGCTCACAAACACTGCTAATGGTGTTTCATAAAATGACCAGTCAAGGTAGAGATGCCGCCTCTGGCTTTAAACTGGACCTCTGTGCTGCATTTATGAGGAGTGCTGTGATGTTTTTCACTGAGAACAACAAGATGTAATAGTTTGAAACTAAAATCACTTCAGTAAAAGAAGTTTTCAGAACACTGTAAATTGCTCTTTGTTGGTTGTTTTCAAACTCAAATGAAGTTTTCCTTCTTTGGGCTTAGTTTGTTCAAGACATTAAATACTGAATAAGAGGCATTCTAACATTCTATTTTTTTAACTGCCATGGTAATCTCTCAAGTGTTTAACTGCAGAGAGGCTTCCTTCCAAATAAAGAATTTTGAATAATTCTTTGAACTCTTTGTTTGCACCTTCCTCTAATTCTGCACCTTTTTAAATGAATGATAATTGAGCTAACTAAGGCCAAAGGTTTTCTTTTCTGCAGTCAGCTTTACATCTACTGCTTATATTAAACACATAAATATTTTATATAGATTTTAATATTTCTCTTGTTGTTTCACTTCTAAATGTCCTGTGGTTTTGCGTTTCAATAAATAAACTTGTGCTGTCTATGCACCGAGTGGAGGAGCTCTCCTAATTTTACTGTATGCAGAGCTGACAGTGATTACAGTCTGATTCTGGCACCGTTCATTCATTTATTCTAAGTCTTTATTTTCTGTAAGCCTAATGTGAAACACATGAACATTTTAGCAGTTTTATTACAAAATAAATACTCGTGGAATACTTGTCTAGATGATATCAGTTTCAGTTATTGCAATGTAAAACTGCTTACTTACTACATAGATATTATATAATATATAGTGTTATTCATTATTTTGATTTTTTTAAGATTATATGAAGACAGTGACACTGGAGATGTTCCGTTAAACAATGAAACCCACAACAGCATAAGCGAGTGCAAGCTGCAGTGTGGACTGATGGTCACGTTCATGTTCTTGTCGGTATGAACAGCGAGGTGTGACGTGTGCTGGTGGATGCAGAATGGGTGACAGATGCGGTGAATGCAGAGCGGAGGAGGGAAGATGTTCTGGTGTGTCAAGTGTGAGGGTGTCGATGGCAGGGACTCACTCTGGCCTTGGCGGCAGGGGTAGAGGGGTCTGATGTCTTGTTGTTCGGGGTGGAGGAGACCTGGGGAGACAACCAACCCCATCGGTCAATACAACCTCGCACCAAATACATGCCACGGCACAACGAGGTGGAAGAGCAGGCGGAGGGGTGGGGGACACGGGGTTAATAAAGAAAAACAAAAACAGGACCAATCACATGAGTGCATGGGCTGTTAGAGCCAATCAGAAGGGAGGGTTAGAAGGGAAAAGAAAAAACAGCATGGATCAAAAAGAAGCAACCAAATCCGTTAGCCAAATGTGTGGGTGTATGAATAATTTAAAGAACTGATAGTAGTGGCACCAATTGGATGTAAGATTTATTTACGGGCCAACTGAGCGGGAGGATCAGATGTACTGTATGAGATGGTGGCAACCACTCAGATGGCAGAAAACTGGAGCAGATGGAGCACTTTTAAAAACATGACAAAGATTTACAGTGGATTAGTGACAATAAATTAACATTTGTCCTGTTACTGGCAAGAGCCACTCAGATATCAGCACAAAGAGAATCAGACAACAACAGATCTAAGGTCACGTTACTGGAGCACTGTGTTGTTCACACAAACAGCACCGGCATTGTTCCTGAATACTGAGAATGGAAAGGTTGTTACACCGAAATGCTCCTGTTGAATGGAAAACATTAAAATACAGGATACACAAACCAATATTAGAATCACAGGAGGCTGAATGAGTCAGGGCCACTTATTATGATGCAGGGCGGCGACAGGCTTCAGGAGCGTGTTTTTGAAAGGGAAGGCAGACGACACAGCGGGAACGGACCTGCAGAAACTCAGTACATCTGCCTGACAGAGTGAAGAGTGGCCAATAATTACAGTTTGATGCAGACACCTGGAGATCCTGCAGACATTTCCCCTGCTGACTGCCTTTTTGTTGCGCAGAAAAATTTGAGGTGAGGCCAGTTTCACAGAACCATTTGGAGTGGAAGCAACAGCTCCGTCTCTGCACTGATCTAACTTTAATTGGCCGTGTGATCACGTCTAAAAACGGCAGGTCGAGGAAGCGACGAGTCACGGTGAATATGAAACAGGGTGTCGCTAAAAGGTTCTGTTTGTCTGGATAAATAAAGAGTCGAGATGGTGCCTGTGCTCGTCTGCGCTGGATATGACACATCTTAAATGGCTTGTGAACCCTGACAACGCAGCCACAGACTGCTGTACTTTAACCTGCAGCTCTACAGCCTGAGCGGGAAGAAGGAGGTTATTGGAATTTGGATATGGATGTGACAGAACGATATTAAAGTAAACGAGATAAAGCACACCTATCTTGGACCGCGAAGAGGTATATTTTACATTTGCACCTCGAGAAAATGTTTACATCAACATAAAAAAGCAGAGACGAATTGAAATGAAGCAGCTCCAGACAGACATGACTAATGAAAGAGGACACAAATTACCTTTGAATATATTAATACACAAACACGAAAACGTACAGACACATGAAGAGGTGTGGTGATAATGCACTGAAAGGACTGCAAAAAGGTAAAAACAGTGGCTGAATGAATAAATTTGCCAATTTTCCATTTAAACAAACGGCAATATGCATATGTTAGCTGCATAAACAATTCAACCTTTCAGAAAACAGGCTTTCTTGCTGAGAGATTTGTGTCTTATGTAATGTTATATCTCAGAAACTGATCAGCAACAACATAAAAGCTGCCTGCCTGCCTGACATTGTGTAGAAGACATTGTAAAGCGCTTTGGGTACCACTAAGGTAGAAAAGTGCAGACCATTTACGTCCTCCTTGTGTGGCTAAAACAGCCCTGACCCATCAAGGCATCACCAAGACATTACAACAAATCCTTTTGTAGCTGAAGTTAGGATGTGTTTTCCCAGCACATCCCAGACATGCTCAATCCGATGGACATTTTTGGAGAACTTCGAGGCCAAGTCAACACCTTAAAACCTTTTTCATGTTCCTCAACTTATTCCTGAACAGTGTTTGCAGTGCGGCAAGAAACGTTACGCTGCTAAAAGAGGCCAGTGCAATCAGGAAAAACCACACCGTGGCAAAGCGTACGTGGTCTGCAACAGGTAGGTCGTACACGTCACAGTAACATCCATAAGAAAGACAAGATGCGAGGTTTGACCATATCATCACTCGACCTCACTCTGCTGACTCGCCTTCTTCTCAAGCTGCTGCCATCTCTTCCTTGGTAAAGACACGTGCCCTGCCGCCTCATGATGAAAAAGACAATGTGATTCATCAGAGGCCACGTCCTTCCGCTGCTTCATGGTCTACTCCTGCCGCTCACTTGCCCATTGTAGGTGCTTCCGGTGGCGGACAGGATGGGCATGTGCTGCCACACAGCTCCATATGCAGCACGCTGCAATGCATGCAATGTGTGTTCTGTCACTTTCCTGTCTCTAGATTTTAGACAGTTTGTGCTACAGTAGCTGTTCTGTGGGATCGAACCACACAGCCTTCACTCCCCTTGTGCATCAATGAACCTTGGGCACACATGACCCTGTTGGTTCACTGGCTCTCTCTGCTTAGAACACTTCTGGCAGGTATGAAGAACAACAGCATATTGGAAACATCCCACAAGATCTGGTGTTTTGGAAAAGCTCTGACCCAGTCCTGGTCAAAGTCACTCAGATCCTTACACTGGCCAGATTTCCTGCTTCAAAGAAATCAGCTTCAACTGCCAAACTTTGACAGGTGCCACGATTACAGAGAAATCAATGCTATTCACTTCACCTGTCAGGGGTTTCAGTGTTGTGGCTGGATGACTATATATAGTGTATATATATATAGCTACTGTTTAGCCTTAGCCTAGCATCAATACTAGGAGCATGAGGTAACATGCAACATCCATGAATACATCTACCAACACTGAAAATCAACAATATGTGTTCATTTGTAAGCTTTGTAGTTATTATCAGGCATAAATCTGAACATTAAAGTGAGACAGACCAGCTGTTCCCTCCTGCTTCTCATCTTTATGCTAAGCTAATGCTGCTTCGCTAATCAACTACAAGTTCCAGCTTCATCGTAGCTACAGACGTCAGAACAGTATCGAGCTTTTCATTTTTCTCTCAACAAGAAAGCAACCAAGTATTTCCAGACATGTCTAATGTTTCTTGTAAAAAAAAATACATAAAGTAAAACCTTCACACAGTATTTTGTTTTGACACAACTACAGTCTGGTGAACGCTGGACTCACAGACAGATAATACAGCAGAGTTGGACAGAAGATGAACCGGACTGACACATTAGATCACATGGCAGGGCAGACGGAGAGCGGATGATGTTTGTGATTCAAAGCGACAGCACAATCCTTTCCCCGAGACAGACTGTCACAAACACTGAAGGAACACAGACAACACAGTCCGAAGCCTAAACCATGACATGCTGTGCAACTTTATCCCAGCGGAATAAAGGTAGCATGGAGACATTTGTGCTGTTGTCCTAGTGCAGATGTGTGAGAACATTTGCATGGAAGCACTAGGAAGTGAAAAAATACTGGGAATGATGCATGTTACAGTGAATTGAGGGAGACAGCGGAAAGATGAGAGATTAAAATGTTGACGGAAACCAGATTAGGAAAACAGAAAAACATAAACAGAGAGACGTATAGTTACTGTCGCTTTAATTAACATGTAATGACCTCCAAGAGAATCGATGTCTGCAGTGCAGAGGTGAGGCCTTTCTGAGTTATAGCATGAGCTCTTCACAGATGCACGTTAACACGGTATATCTTCCCCACTCCATCCCTCCCAAGTTTTCATCCTCTACTGTAAGTCTAATCTCAGCTACACCACGCTGTGCTGCTTTACATAGCACAGAAATGAGTCTAAGACCCTGACAGCGCTGCGGTACAGCACTGCAAATATCACTGAATCCAGTGTGTTCAGTACAGCCTGCCGCAGAGCATGAAGGGATCTCCTGTTGGTTTAAGCTGCCTGGCACAGGAACACTGTTTTTGAAGCATTATGAGGATCTAAGAACACATTTACAATGCTTTAAGAAATCTACTTCCAGTCAACCCTGCATCAAGACATGGAATTATTTACTTAAACTGTGTTCTCAGCATCTGCGAGGACATGCTATATAGTTTTGTTTACATTGCATACAATTAAAAGAGTTTGTTTTGTGGAAAAGCCATCTGGGTACTTTGTCAGTCTGTTGTTTAGCTCAGGAAAGCATTATTGTTTTTGCAGATTCGGAACAGAATGAAAACAAATACCACTTCTGTCCTCAGCTAAATTTGAAAAAATAACTTTCTTCTCTTTGTTTTGATGTACTTTCCTCAATAAAACCTACATATTTTTCAGCAAAAAAAAAAGTTTTTTTTCCTCCAGAATGAATGAATCTGAAAATAACACGGAAGTTAAAAACATGTTTTCAATTTTATTCGCTCATTTACGGTGTCATATTTAAAAAGAAACAGTTATTCAGCTTTTTATCTTCAATAAAATGAATGTCACAATGAACTGTTTTTCATCGTGATGTGAATTTTCCGCGCAACACTTAAAATCCAAACACCACGCGGGAAAAAAAAGGCGCAAAAAAAAGTGCATTGCCTTTCAGCGTGCAGAGAGCAGCAGAGGTGCTTAAGAAGGGTCTTCCTGGAGAGTTATCAGCGAGTGTTGACAGTTAAGGTAATTAGTGTCAGCAAGTTAGTCTTAGCTTACAGCGACTGTTTTTAAGGACGACGATAAGCTAATACTAATGATGCCTGTGGGGCCGACTTTGAGATAACAGGATGGATGAATTTTGCCGTCAATGGAAAAAGAAAATCTCCCCGAAGCACTTCAGATAGAGTATTAACTTGTTTCCGTGTTAATTTTAATGTCACATAAAACGTATGTCACAACAAAACATTATTATTCATTTATCAAAGATAAAACGCTGCGTAATTGTCCTTGTAATATGTTTTTCAGGTTAACACAATAATAAATATAAAGGAAATATGTACAACTATAAGTAGTGGATTTAACTTTTTTCTTGAAATAATTTTTAATTTAGGCTGGAATATTTTTTTTTAGTAAACTAGTGAGCTAATACAAGCTTAGATTCAAAATAATGTTAAAATAAATAAAGTGTAGACTGACATCTACTCTAAAAGTCGTTCTGGTCTCAAAGGACGTCTGAGTAAAACATGTCATTATGATGTACAGCACATAGCAGCTGTTTGAATTACAAACCACCCGCTGCCAAATCATTTGCTGATACAAGAAAATCATTCTGCAGCATTTCAGGAATCTCGACAGGTACATCAGTGCTCTGAATTATTCATGGCCCTCTCCTGCGCTGCCTGCCTTGGCCTACCTTTCCTCCGCCGGGCTGGTACTTGATGTTGTCGATGGATCCGATCTTGGAGCGGACGTTCTTCAGGTCCGGTGTGGGCGCGTTGATGGGTCGTGGGGTTCTGGGGGCTCGGGGAACCGCCGGCTTCTTCTCCAGTGGGGTCTGCTTGGGCACCGGGGGTTTGGTGATGACCCGACGGCGGTGAGTGTTGGCCTCGCCGTTGGTGGAAGCAGCCGGGGTACCAGGGGTGGCAGTGGAGGCCGGGCGAGGACGGGCTGCAGAGAAACCGCATCAGAAATAAAGTAAGAAAGTGTTGATCATTTTTGGTGAAATGTAAAGCACTTCAACTTCTGTTTGTCTTGAAAAGCAAGTATTGCTTTTGGGCATAATGGCTCACAAGGTGTACATGTTACTGTTCCATTTAATCAGAAACAAGTCAACTCATGTAACAAAGCAGAGGAGCTTGTGTGGTCTCATTATTCACCACTAAGGTACTTGTGTTTTTAGCATTATAGTTGTTAACATGATATGGTACCTAATATTGTAATAAGGCAGTAAAAAACCTTAGTCTACTTGTTACTGCCTTGGAGATGCCTCGGGCAGCTTTTGTACCCATGAGTGAATCATTTGTAAACACTAACTTCATTTTGTTCTGGTGACAATTGCGGAAATGCAGAAAAACGGTAATAAAGCAATTAAATTACTGTCACAAAACTTCTCCCAGTGTATATTTGACTTTTCTTACCTGTAGTCTTGGGTTTCTTGGCCTCTCCTGTCTTGTTCTCAGTCTTGTCATTCTTGTTAGCTGTGATAAGAAAGACAGAACATCTGCTGTTAACCTAAAACTGACTTTGACCTTAAAAAAACAGGACATTGGTAGCAAGTGGCAAGTAATACTTCAGCTGATGTTTTCTTAAATTTCAGCGTTCATGAACAAGTGCATGAATGAACTTACGAGTGCAATGTGCACAGTTGTATAGTGTCAAATCGGTCGTATTGTTGTGTACATATTGTAAATACAGTGGATGATGGGTTGCTATATTCTTGATTGGTAGGTTATAAGTTACCTAACTGGTAAGTTTGGTGGGTTGAGTGGATGAATTTCCTGTGAAATAAGGTGGCTGCATTGATTCTTTCTCTCCTGCATTTCATAGACATTAAATCAAGTGTCTAGATGTATTGTGGAAAGCTGATCATTTATGAACACCTCGTTCTGCAGCACTACTTAATATTTTTAGTTGTTTTACCTTATTGTTTGGGTTTGCATCGCACTTAATCTCCTCATTCTCAGTAACCTTGTTTCTAGCAATAGCTGGCAGCTGCTTTCCATAATAAGAGCAATTAAAACTAGTTTGGTTAGTAACTTTGTACTGTAGATTTATTTAAGTTTACAATAGTTTGCTACTTTACCACCACAGTTCAAAGTGAAAGACTGTATTTTTTACCCAGCTGCATACATTTACCCTCAATAGTTACTTGTTACTTTGCAGACTCTGATGTCAAGTCTTATAATAAGTATATATGAAATATGACACATGCTGCTACAGGAAATTAAACTATGTGGTAGTATTCTGTATAAAAATGGGTAAAATTAGCTCTGCTTACAAGAAATACAAAACAGAGGCCCATGTTTTGTAAATGTAAAATTTAGATTTAGGATGTTTTTGTACAATTGAGTAATACAAAATATGAATATTTGTAATACAAACACTACGCTATCCACCAAGTCCTAACCAGCTGACGGACAAAGGTTTCGACTAGCTTAGGAAGCAACTTGAACATTTAGCAGGTAAAGACGTAGATGTAGTCTATAGACACCAAACTAGAGGTGAAGGGAGGGAGAGTGAATATTAGATTTATATTTATTGGACATAGAACTCAAAATGCCACTTGTTGTCTACTTGATGTCACAGAAAAGTGTTTGCAAATTTAGAATGTGATGACAAATTATGGCTATGGCATTGTTACTTTGTTGTACAGTTCAGATTTTTCAATTACAAGTTGCAGAATACTGGAAAACTTGGAACAGCAAGCATCAACAGGTCACCTTTGTCTTTTACCGAATTCAAATCCTGAAGGAAAATGAGGAAATTATTGGCTGTTGATGGCCAATAATCACAAAACCTTGCCACAGACAGGATTCCCCATCCAAAAGACTCCTTCAGTTGTCTGCTCACATAGCGTTTCTGACTTTTAAAGGCTTCTGGTGATGTAAAAATTGTTACTTGAGTCACTTCTGACAGTCCACTGTGTTGTATGTAATGCTGCCATCACGTGGCAGAAGCTTTGTGAAATTGGACTAAATTGCTGCCATTGTGGCACAAGTCACAAAGGTGATGGAGTTCACTGCAGCTAAAATGAAATATGAACCTCGCAGTGCATAACACCTATCACTATGAACTGGGTGAATGAATCATGTTCTCTGAGGGTGCTCAGCTGAAGTGCACAAAAAGCCGAAAGTCTGTTTGACTAACACGTCTCAGCCTGACTCATAGCTGCCTCGCTTAGAGAGGTGAGATGCTGTTGTGATATGCGGATAAAAATACCAGTCTGATGTCTGCAAAAGCCAAGTCTTGAATCCGATTAAGTCTAACATATGCTAGCAATTCAGTTAGCCTGTTGCCTGGAGTGGTGCCAGTCTACAACGTGAGTCACTGTTCCAGTTACTGTACCGAGTTCAGGTCCTGCTATAGAGGTCATGTTGCACTGAACCAGCCGAAGCAGAGCGGAGTTATTGTCTGAGGCAGCAGTGATCATATCACAGGAGACTCAATAGAAGAGGTGAAACTGTGTTGGGTGTATTTACCTGCAGCTTTGTTTGCAGCAGTTGCAGGGGAGCCATTCTTATTGGCAGTTGAACGAGGGGTTGGTGTGGCCTTTGGCACGGATGGACGTTTCTCAGTAGTACCATTTTCAGGAGTCTGGGAATAAAAACAGAGGAGACATGAGCAGCCGTGGGTGTGTTTTTTTTAGTGAGTATAAGAGTTGTGACTGCTCTCACTGGCTCCACCAATGGTTCTCAGACTGGGCGATAGCCTCGATAGCAAGGCTGTCCTGCTAACATGCTTATTTCAATTGAAAGTTAACTCGGCCTGTTGTTTCATGAGTTCTATGATAATTATAGTGACCAACATGACAGAAAAAGTCTGAGAACCACTGGGCAAGCTGGCTGTCACATCTCAGAAAATATCTGAACATGTTTGCAATTAGGAATTAGTTGTAGGGACACTAAGACACTCGTCAGCCAAGTTCATAGCATCAAACATTATAGAGTTACAATATTTGAAGAGTTCATTTGCAAAAACAGATAAATCCACTTTTGTAGATTTTTTTTTTGTAGTTTTCTTGAGATAATATAAAAAAAACTGAAGCTGAGTGGATTTGACTCAGTTGAAATGACATGACAAAAACAGAGATAACTTAAGTTTGATTGATATTGTCTCAGGTAGATGATGGAAAAGTGGGTTTTCTGAAGGTTTGTGAAGATGGAGTTATCTGTTTTTGCAAATGAACTCTTCATTTCTTTACCTTACTTTCAGATTATGCAATGCTTTCCCTTAAAACCCTGGCCTCTATTCTTATTAGCCCCTGCTCAGATGCTGGCAAGTTATCTACTGAACCTCAACACGACCAATGGAAAGCCAATGTGCAATAGAGCTAGTATTATATGAAGCTACTACAGAAAAAAATACAGATACAGGTATAAGTATTAACTAAAGAAGTTGTACAGGATGTATGTATAAGTTCTAGGGGATGGAAGTTGATGAACCTAGTTGCACAGCGCCTGCAAGGAGGCAACGACAAATTAATCTGTCAGCGTCATACCTGGTAATCTGTTGTTTGGGGACTTCTGATCCAACAAATATCAGAGACAGAGTGCACAAATTTGAGACCAGACGTTTGGTGAGTGCACATAGGCAGTCTGAGTGTAACAGAATGCACTCCAACTGAACCACAGGACATTTGTGCAGCAACAGTATATCTGACTACAGAGGATTATTGAAAGAGAAAGCCGGGTTTCGAGGGAAAGCACTACAAAACTCAATGTAAAATACAGAAATAAGGCTCTCAAATTGCAAGACACGGCTCTCAATCACAGATCGGAAAGTAACTCCATACAGCATTACCTCTGGTCATTTGGTTCATACTCAGAGAAATGCACTTTGAAATGGGATGTGATGGATAATGTTTCAATAGTTCACAAATAAATACATCCAGACGAGGATGCCGACTGAAAAGGCCTCAAGTCTGACCTTCACTAAATAACACAATGTCCATTCATCCTGCTTGCACAGAAGAAATATGTCTGTCTATGTGTCTTATACTCACCTTGCCAGCCTTGTTGGAGCCAGTCGCTGTTGGCGGCCGCTTGGCAGCGGTCGGTGTGGTCGCCTTGGGTACAGGGCTTTTTTTATTGGCTGAGGCTGTGGTGGGGGAGGGGCGTTTGGCCGAGTTGGCCTCGCCATTGGTGGAGAGGGTGGATGGGCGCGATTTGGCTGAGTTTGGTTTGGTTGAACCCACATCAGGCTGGTGATGATGGAATTTAAAGAAGCAATAATAACAGTATAAAAGAGAGAAGAAGTGGGAAAGAAAGAAAAAGGACGACAGCGAGAGATAGAGAAAGAAAAAAGCAGAGATGACATCAGTGATTGCAATGGCAGCGTGATATGACAGCACAGGCAGCAACCATATGACAATCACAGAACAGGTCATAAATTTTAAAATCAAATTAGCAATTTATAACCGCCTTGGAGAGCTCATGAGCAGTAAATTATAAAATTATAAGCCTCAAATGAGATGAAATGAGCAGCAGTCTTCATGTAGCATATGGTATGAAAAGATATGAGATATTGAACACATTCACACACGGACGCTGCATCTCAGCAAACACACACACATAAACAGACTAAACAAACATAATATTTAATGCACAGAAAACTGTAGCTGACATGCTAACCGCTAACGTCATAGCCAGCTGGGAAAATGCTAATGTGAGAGCTGATAAGTTTGGCTTAACAACTTCTTGAGCTTCTGTCTGTTTTGTCTGTACTGTGACGTTTGATCCCAGTGTGTTCTCAGGACTGTTCATCATTTTTATTCAGTAAGGAGTTACAAAAGATGGGAAAACCAGATATTAAAATATATCCTCTGTATGCTGAACTTGCTTACATTACAAGCCATAGATAATGTGTCAGCGCTTGACTGTCTATAAACCACTCCCTTCTTTCTTCATTGATGTGTCAACCACTCCTTCTAATCAGTTAAGAGTTGAAGTCAACATTCCAGCTTGTCACTTTAAACCTGTTGGATTTTGTACTGTTGTTCAAACACAACAGGCAAACCAATAGTCACTAGATAATGATTTTTAGTTGCAATCCTAAACAAGTTATGCATTTCCTCTAGTTTTCTGTTCCTACAAGCTGATTTTTTTTGGGTAATATTTCATCAAAACTAAACTTGATGAAACAGATTTGCTTTGACTATACCAGCAAATCCACGGATTGCAGCAAAATATCCCACATTTATAACGTTCACACACCCGACAAAGACAAAGACACACATGCACTCAAGAGAGCAGCAGAAGCAGCGCAGAGACTGAAGTGGAAGATGTCTGTGTGGTTTCTGTAATCAGCTTCAGCACTGGTTGGAGCAGCTAAAAGTTTGTGTGTCTTGCTCAAGGACACTTTAACAGGCTTTTGTTGGACACACCGGCTGTGTGAGTTCAAAGCTCTGACCTCAGGGTGACAAGACTTGTTTCTGTAACCACTGGATACTTTGCCACCTTGACTGTGTGAATCTGTGTGCAGGAAATGTGTGTGGACAGCACTTTGCGTGAGTATATTGTGTGTTTGTGAGACCCACCTTGCTCTTGCTGTCAGGGCTCGGCAGGGTCTTGCTGCCGTTGCCTGTTGGAGACTTTGCAGTGCTTTTCCCTCCTTTATCATCCTTCTTCTCAGCCGGTTTCTTCTCCTCTTCTTTCTTCTCGTCTTTGTTGGTCTTCTCCGGCTTGTCCACCTTCTCCGCCTTCTCGGTGGTCTTGTTGTTTTTCTCCGCGTTCATTTTCTCCATCTTTTCCTCATTTTTGATGATCTTCTCCGACTTCTGGTTCTTGTCTGGGCCGTTGTCCTTCTTCTGCTGCTCTTCTTTCTTGTCAAAAGTGTCGATCTTGTCCGTCTTGCCGGACATGATGTCTGTCTTCTCTTGCTTGTCTTTGTTGTCAGATTTCACTGTAAGAAAAAGATTGTCGTTGTCAGCATCAGCATATTTTAAGAAAACCATGTTGAGTATACAAGTATATACAAAAGACCAGTAATCAAAACATGTAACTAAAATATAATAAATGCAATGAAAGCTATCACCATCCTTTAAAATACTGGCCTGTATAAAATGAACACAGTGTTTCACTGGGCACATGTAAAACTCCAGCATTTTTAGACGTCAGGATTTCATTGTGGCACATTTAAAGAATAGTGTAGAGCATATGTTTGCAATTTTGTTCATAAAGCATATCTTTTATTGTTTTCATATTTTATTAGTGCCAAATAATTTCTTTAAAGCAATAAGATGAAAACTGTTTGAACAAGTCCACAGATGTCTAAATAACAAACAGGAATTTCACTAATACTTGTTTCACGTTTCAAACAAACAAAAAGCTTTGTTGACCCATCCATCCACCCCGTCATGCCAGTTGAAACAATGGAGAAGTCCTGTCCATTTAAAAAGCTAAAGGTTCATATGTAATCTATGTAATGTGTCGTGTTTATGTAATATAACCACCAACAGAAAGCACCACATTAAACAATTTGCTATTCGTAACTCCACTTTTGTTATTTATAGATTTGAACGTCATGTGGAAGACTTAATTTAGGTCATGGTAGCAGATGATTCTGGGTCTGGTTAGTAAACAGGCCAACCCCATTTATTTTATTGCACTGCCTTATGTAAGCCCACATAATGGCAATGCTGTACACTTAAAATCCATGTCAGTGGGGTCATATCAAATAGAGTGGGCAAACAGACTGTTTTATAAGCGCTGAAATGCCAGCTTTTTTTTTCAAACTTGATGATTCTTCTCTTTCCGGTTCCTTTCATAGACTGTCTTTAAATTAAGACTTTGATCATAAATTGATGTACTTTAAAGCTGTGTTGTCTCCATGCTATTGTTGTTAAAAGGTGCAAGACAAATTCACTTTTACAACCAGTGCAAACACCTCCTACTCTTGATAAGTACATCTCAGTATGCTATATAAGTGCATAGTACACAAATTAGCAGACAGGAAACAAAAAAAAAAAACTCCCTTAAAGAAAGCAGCACTTAGGAAGAAACAGGTTTTATAGTCACAGTAAACAGGTGAAAATAAATAGGGTGTCGGTCTGGATTTAAAGGTCTCGATGGTGTTTGCCTCTCAGATTGAGCATTATAAATTATTCCACAGTAGTGGAGCTCAGAATGAAAGGGCTCTGCCACCAGCGGAGAACCTATTAATCCTGGGAATGGTTAATAGCCGACATCCTGTGATCTGGGAGTACACGGTGGGATGTAGAGACTGAGAAGATGCTAATGTATGAAACCATATGATACAAAGTGTTCAAATTTGTGGTTTCTGTAAGAATTCTGGCAACAGTTTTTAGATTTGTTTTGTACTGCAGTAAGGTAGAACCTGACCAAGTTAGCCTGGCTAAATCTTCAGGAAATGAACGCATGAGTGAGAATTTCTGAACCTCACAGTTAAAAATGAGAAACTTAGGGAGTCTGGTGATATTGGGAAGAAAGGCCTTATTGTGATGGCATCAGTGATTTCAGTGTTATCTTTGTTTAGATGTAGAGTTCTCAGGTTGCTAAGATTTACAGTGTTATTTATATATATACAATGTTCAGGCCTGGGGCCATTAGGGTCTTCTGTTTTAACAGGATGTTATATAATACATATAACAGTAATATAAATCGTAGTGTCATCAGCATACAAGCATATATAGTCGAAAGAGCTGTGGTTCTAATACAGAGCCTTGGGGAACCCCACAAGGAACGTTTCCATAGTAAAAGAATTTTAGAAAAGTGGACTAAAATGGTTAATGCAGCAGAGGCTCAGATACCCTTTTAGCATTTTCCCTTTGAATCCTCTGCCTAGTCTTTCAAATGCCACATCTCCAGTTTGTAAAACATGCTTTTTGTTACAAAATTTGCACACTCCAGGGAATCCTAATTGCTTCAGTAGAAGGTTTTAATCTTTTTTTATGGTTCTTGAAGATGTTTCCCATCACATCCAAAACGTTTCCTCAGTTACAACTGTGCAAATGATTGGTTTGGAGTGCCAGATATCAATTTTCACAACCAAATCCCATGGCTTAAAGCCCATTAACAATGCAAGACTCACATGATTTAAGGTGTGAATGATTGTGAAACTGCATGGGGAGGGATCTCAGGACTGTGTTATATCCCCTTACCATGACCTGAAAACTGAACATCTATACACACATAGTCCAGGTTCTCCTCTATTAGGCTTGGGATGGGAACCACATGCAAAACTAGAATGTAATACACGGGCGGACGTGGGAATATGGTTACGAAATCACAGTTTCTTAGAATAACATTTAGCATCATTGGATTTCAGTGTTCTTAACACTTGATTATGAAAACACAGGAAACTCCATCCTCCTCAGAGGAAACGTTAGGTCAAACTGGGTAGCAGCATCAATGTTGCTAATAACTGACTCATGGGATGAGCAGAGAAAAAAAAAAGAATAAAGTTAAAGTAAGAAGAAACAGGGATAGATGAGCAGACCAAAGGGAGATGGTGACCAGATTTATTAATTTGATGGGGTTGAGGACAGACAGCAGGCAGGGCTGAGGGGTGGAGGGGACTGAAAAAGACAGAGGCCCTTTGTTGCCGCCGAGACATATCTTACATAACCCTGATACTGGATAGACGTGCCTATACTGTGCCCTGCTGTCCGCTCATTTCCCTCTGCGCTGAGGTTTGCTGTGTGATAGCTGCTCTATCTTCTCTGAAACAATGCCAATTTGCGGCTGTTGTCTTTTCTCCGGCAATCAAGCAGGCAAAAGAGCTGCCAGAGATGCCATTATATATGACACATGTTCACTTTAAAGTGTAGCTGCAAACTAACTCAGTCTGGAGTACAAATCACACGCACAAGATTACATGCATGGAAAATTGGGACAATTGATTTGGAACAATTTGGACAAAATCAACAAAAATGCCACAGTATGGTCAGCATTCATTGTTGCTCTTATTTTCAGTTTGTTTATCCTCCGGCATCTTTGTTCTTACTATCGACCACTGCGGTTTTGTCATCCTTTATCAAGCTGTAATGAAGTCAGATCCTGCCCTGCAATGCTAAGCTAATGTTAATGCAAGCAAAAAAACCTACTGCAGATGCTTCTCAAAGCCTCTCAGTGGCACCTACTTGTTTCATGAATTTTAATGCCCTTAATTCCGAGATGCCTCGCAGTGTTTTGGTCCTGTCTGAATTTGGTGTCTGACAGAGAAAATAAGCATCAATATTATCCATCCCATTTATGCAGCAGCAGCAGAGGAACTGAAAAAGAGGTTTTGACAACAAAATGGATTTGGGCCTCTGACCTCTGCAGCTGCAGGGAGTGCTGAGCATAAACTGTCACTTTGTAATATGCATTGTAATATTACTCTACCCTGTTTTTTTTTTTTTTTTTCCAGAGAAACTGAATAGCCACATTCCACAGACCAAAACACATACACGTCACAGTCGTTATAATCTGATTCAACACCTTCTATCAAAATGTGTAAATGCAGAAATCAGCTCCTGGTGTTTAGCTTTGTTCATCCCGACCAACACAAACAATGACAATTTACACAAAAAACAGAACTCTACCAAGTAGTCGGATCAAAATCAATGGAGTACAACCACAGATATTGTGTCTTCAATTAAAAAAATTCTTCCTCCTGGCAGCTCCATTAATTATTAATGCAACTCAGCCACTGATAGTTCAACTGGTGATTCAGGTGTATTGTGCTGGTTGGGAGCCTCTCGACTGACATGAGATTAGAAGAAGGCTGCAGGGGTTTGGTCTGGTCACTTCTTCTTATCGCAGCACCTCCAGATTTTTTTAAACTTTCAAAATGTTAGTCTTTGGGCCCTGCCAAAGTTGATACAAGGGATGGGCAATTTAGAAAGATTTTATGCAGGTTTCTCTGAAGCCACAAACAACTTTATGGAACTTTTCACAGGTAAAATCAGGTGCAGCTTCACTGTAAAGTCATTTCTGGTGGTCATCCAGAGTCCATACAACTGTAGTAACATACTAAACATAACTGTCTGTGTTTATTCTAGGTGTTATGTTTTTATGTGAAGCTAGTTATTTTTATCTTGCAACATGTCCATATGACCTTTTTTTTTATATGCTGGAAGACATATAATGAGCAAAATAGGAAGTAAACGCAGCGGTTGAGCATATCCGCCTTAAGACAGTACTGTACCGACCACAATGTCAAAAACACAGATTCAGTTTTCCATGGTTTCAACTGATCCTGTCAACTTGCAGCGTGGGTCTTTTTGTATCATTATTCTTCATAAATCAATCTTCAGTTTCAACACGTATGGATGAATTACTCGAGTATTCCAATTTGCCATTGTGCAGTATAAAGCAGTTAACTTACTCCAACTTATTTTGGAGTGGCTAACTTATTTTCGTAGCGTCGTCCATTATTACTGTCAGTAATAACATCGTAAAGTGTCGATGATGAGGCAAAACAATCTTAAGTCAAGGTCTTATATAAGTTTTCTTGCAGAACTACGTGACTCTGCTGAAAAGAAGTCAGCTGCATCCATTAACACAAGCGTTCAGGCAGGCAGGCTGTAAACCCTGAGTTTAGACAGATTTATTTGAAAGAGGAGATGAACATTAAAATTATGACCCTTCTGACCTTGTAAGCATACATCATAGTTCACAGGCTGGTTTCAACTTCCTCCTCAATGAAGGATTATATGCGATATTTCATGTTCACATTTGTTTTATCCTCAAATAAAGTGGTTTGGATAATCTGAGTAAACTTTTTTTTTTGTCCGACAGTCAGATTGCGCATTTGACTTTGGTGTGGTGAGGCTGCCATGTTCCTAGATCTCAGCAAATCATTTGGTGAGCACAGTGGTATGACAACCAACAGAAACAATGGCCAATGTTTGACATAGCAGGTATCATACTTGTAATAGGAGAGATGACATAAATGTA